CAACACATTGTTTAATTATTAAAATAGTTATAATTATTCCCATGCACGTGGGGAATCTAATAATTATTAATTAAGGTTTATGAACCTTCCATGCGCGTGCTAAATACAAAGAGAAATAAAGGATTAATTCTCTCACTCATTAATATCTTTTCCCCCAATCGCATCGCCTCATTGTTAAGCTAAGGAAGACACCAAACTAATTAAAGCATAGAGTTTTGAGGTATATATATGACTTTTCTCATAGGTATATGATGATTTATACAATGCACTCACAAAAGTAATGTATATTATTTATCAAACTCTAAAATTAATTCAAGAGATCGAATCGAATTGTGAAGATAATATATATTAGTCTAATACGGCGATACAACCTACACTACAAGAAAATCAGCCTTTAGAAGCAAATAATTAGAGACAATTGTTGTAGTGGTCTCTATAGCTAAGCTTTAGGGGCAAATATATTATTTGTCTTAGTAGGTGAATTTTTTTGTCTCTACAGGAAAATCTAATAATCTTTAGAGACAATTACAAATGTTGCTTATAGTTATGTCATATAGAGACAAATTTAATAGTCTTTAGATGCAAATATAAATGCTCCTTATATATATATCTTACAGACGCAAATCTAATAGTATCTAGAGACAAATACAAATGTCTCTTATAATTATGTCATATGGAGACAAACCTAATAATCTTTAGAGACAAATACAAATGTCACTTATAGTTATATTATATGGAGACGATTTTAATAGTCTTTAGAGACAAATATAAATGTTACTTATACCCATATCATATATTTACTATTTAGAGACAAATACATATGCTCCTAAAATAATAATTTGAATTGGTTGTATTGTATAGGTTCAAGTAATGGGGAAATGATCATTGACGCATGCCGCCCAAAGTTTCCCATTTCCACTTTTTTCCCCTCTTAATTATTTAGTTATTATAAAAAATTGGCTCCAAATTGAAAAAATTGAAAAATTTCAATGGCCAAGCTGGGCGCCCATTTCCCCACTTCTGCCGCTCAATCCTTCCCAAAACATAATAAAAAAATCTCTCCCATTTATTGGTCCTGGCGCCGACCTACCTTCCTCACTCCTTCTGTTTAATCTTCCCACAGCCTTTCTCCATCTCTTCTTCTTCTCCTCTCCTTCCACTCCACCTCTTAGTCCTTAAACAAAACCAGAGATCTCTCACTCTCACTTGCCCTTTCCATCTCACAAACTTCCTAGAGCCCTAACTGAATCGACTAATTGCCTCCAAATCCCCTGATTTCTGACGAGAAGTCCTGACAATGTGCAGCCCCATACTGAGCCGCCGACGATCTATTTTCCCCAGCATGCATCGACTCCGACAGCCTTCCTGGTCTCCCCTGCAGCAGGAAAGCATATCTATGAAAGACCTTAGATGCCGATATCCTTCCCCTCGACTGCCGCCCAGATTTCCCTCGCCTTGGAGCTCCATCCAAAGCTATTTTTGTAGGGGGAAGGAGGAAGGCAAGGGACAGAAGCGACTCGATCTGGTTTGGTCGGAGCAAACACCATCAATTTATGGGTTGGGGGGTTGCTAGGTTTTTTCTGGGTTTGGGAGTTAGCTGGCTTTTTTTTTTGTGTTTTGCTAGAATGGATGTGTATTTGGTTTTCATGTTCTGACTTCCTCTTCTCTGAAGTTTGGTTTCAATTTTGAAGATCTTTGTTTTTTCCTATATTTGATTTGATGAAGAAGAAGGGGAGAGGGAGAGAGTAAGAGAGGGATCGAGGGATACAGAAAAGCAGAGGGTCGGCCGGAGATCGATGAGAATTGTCGCTGGCACGCGTGGAGTTGGCACAATTGAATCTGGATTTAGTGGACGTCGCTTGAGATGGATTTGTAATCTTGGGGTCGAAGAAGCAGCAGCGGCAACAGCAGAGGGCTCAATTGAATCTGTTCTGTTTGCGGCTGTTTGATGATTTGGTCAAAGAAAAAAAAGGAGAAGAACAGTGCTTGGACGGGATTTGATCTTGGTCCGTCGGTGATAGGCGGTAGCAGAGTCACTAGCGTAGTGATTTAGCTTTGTAAATGTTGAAGACATAATGTATTTGTTATGTATTTTTCGTATTTATGACAATGCTTTCATGTATTTTAAGAATAAATGTATTAAAATGTTATTAATAAAATTTGAATTGGTTATTTAGTTGTCTATTCTATTGAAGTAGAATTTAAAATATTAATCAAAATTGTGAAAGTTGAAATAGAAGCAAAAGTATTTGCTCACAATGCAATTATTTGCTTCGGTAAGATGTTCTAGAAACAATTATAATTGTCTCCAAAACAAGAAATAGGAACAAAAACATTTCTCTCTAAAATCAAATAAGAAGAGAAAAAAACATGTTCTTTAAAGTGGAATTACAATCAATAAGATTTGATTCAGATTCCTTAATTAGAAGCATATATTATTTGCATCTATATTTGCTTCTAAAGAGAATTAGAGACAGAGGCGTCCGATGCAAATAATTTATTTGCTTCAAAAGATATACAGAAACAAATAAGTGGCTTCTAGACGCAAATAAACACTGACTATATAGCCCGGTTTTCTTGTAGTGCTAAGATTACAACTAATTCGTACATTAATCTAATTCACAAACTTTAAATTCTAAACTCTAACCCCAGCTATATCCCTAAACCCTTCAAATTAAAGCAGATACAATATTGTTTTTGTGCAAACACTTGTTTTTATTTGTCCATCATATGTGTAATACAAGTTACGAATGACGTCATTATCTTGACAGGAACCAATAGCTCATAATGATGATCGCGAGACGGATGCATAGTGATCATCACTATTGTATGCATAAAATTATAGGTTGTAATTTACATTCCGAAAAAATGAATAATGGAGAGCATGTATGGGACAAGTTCAACTTTATTTATGGAATTTTGAGGATAATTATTTGAGTTGTTTGGCTGGTATTAGCTAGATGTGACCTCGACAAAACCGTTGTAGCTTGACACACGCATTATCTGGTACAGAAAACAAGGGCAGGTCGGGGGTGACATATCGATATACATATTCTAACCCGATAAGTTAAACACAACCTCTATTTCAAGAAGCGATTCCATGCTCATGTCCGGTCCAGAACGTCACATCTTACCTTGATTGGTGGGCACGCAAAAGATGGTATCTTTACCCTTAAGTAGTGATTGTCCTACAAGATTTGACCAAAGAGACCTACTCTCAAAACCTAATAAAAAAATAGGGCTCTGGAATAAGGGGGGAAAAAGTTTTGCTCCATAGCTATCCATACACAAATACACAAAATCATTCTCATCATAGAACAACACCACAGATCTATCACTAGTGATCTATCTATTATATTCCTTTTCTTTTCTATTATATTATATTTTTTATATATATATATATATATATATATATATATATATATATATATATATATATATATATATTCCATGCAATGCATCCACTTTGGGATATTGGGAGTGTGGGAGAGGATGATGTTATGATTCCTTCTGTCTGCATGGCGTATCATTCTATTCTATGGAAGTGGCTGCATCACGAGGGAACCCTAAACCAATGTGGAAAAGGAAAAAGAAAAGATAAATGTGGCCAAATGGCAAATATACGCAAATGTATGGGATGCCAGGACCCGTACTCGCAAAAACAAAATTGATGAAATCATATTCTTCTTTAGCGTAAAGTTGACATTCTTTTTCCTCTCTCCCTTTAACAAAATTATTTTTTTTTGTTGCTTCGTGGGATCTTATCTCTATCCTTCTCCTTTCTTTATCTTACCTCTAGTGCCCAATATTCTTACGTATTTATGTATTAATTTATACATATATATATGTACCCACAGCCACAATAATGAATATACAATTTTCCAACTTTATATTCCTGAAGATGCTTACGTGTTTAAAATGCATGTATTAAACATGACCTAATCTCTTGATCGTTTCTTATTCGATTGAGGTATAGAAGGATTGATCGAGGTCAAAAATTCAGTCTTATGTGGTTTTGTTTATACGTCTTTGTCAACCTTTTTATCTTTATGGCGTTGATTAATTGAACTTTCAGTCAAGGGTTATTATTGTCGAAAACTATCGAGTCGGATCCGAATAACTTAAACCGTGGCATTGTTTGTGGCAAGAGAGATTCATTATATATTGGCTACAGAAGTAGGCACGTGGGAACTTAAAGTAGCAGAATTGAACGCGGGAATGAATTGAATTTGCGACCCTAGAATAGAATGGATTAATCTGGCTCTTGGCCGCCGGTTTGTGTTGTTTCATAAACTCGTCCTACTACTCACGACTACAACTACAAAGACCGTGAAAGAGAGAATCGAATCAGGGAAAGAAAGAAGGCAACAACCAGAGGACTAGCAAGCTAAGGAAGCAGTGCATTCTTCAGACGAACAAGGGTTTGTTCAAGTGGTAATACCATTTGCTTAGAACCTGAAGGTCCCAGGTTCAAATCCGCTTAAGTAGTAACATAATTACAAACAAGAAACCTATATCACCCTTATAAAAAAAGAAGCAGTGCATTCTTCCAACTACGCTAACAGCCCGTTTGGATACAATTCCGGAGGAAATGGAAATGGAATTCCATTTTTTATTTTTATAGAATTCCATTTTCAATTCTAGTGTTTGATATAATTCCTACAACTATGGAAATGAATTGCACTTTTAACAATAATAAATAATGTAATATGTTTTTTTTTATTTTGGGAAATGAAATATGAATGAGAAAGAGAGTAAAATGATAGTGGGTCAATAAAATAATAAAAAGTATTGATGTGTGACGTGGCAAATAAAAAATAATTAAAAAATTAAATTAAATTTTTAGAAATTACACATCATTATAAAAAAAATATAATTATAAAAAATGAAAAAAGAAATTATTGCAAAAACTTAAACTGCCGCTCTAACACCTTCCCCACCACACGCCCTCCTCCGCCTCTCTTTCCGGCCGCCGCAACTGCTCAACTCTAAGCGGCAGCGATGGATTCCTCTTCATCGTCGCTAGAGAGTTGCCCGAGCTTCTCCCCTTCCTCTCCGGAGTACTCCGATTTGACGCCGCGCGGATCGGGAGCGGGCATTGGTGGATGGGTAAACGATAGGCTTGGAAGGAGAAGTGCACTTGTGGTGGCTGATTTCCTCTTCTTCGTCGGAGCTGTGATCATGGCTGCCTCCCCTGGACCAGCTGCGCTCATCACAGGGAGGGCTTTTGTGGGTCTTGGAGTTGGAATGGCCTCAATGACCTCCCCTCTCTACATCTCGGAGGCATCTCCGGCGAAAATTAGAGGTGCCCTTGTCAGTACAAATAACCTCCTCATCACTTTTGGCCAGTTCCTTTCCTACCTCCTCAACTTGGCCTTCACCAAGGTACGTAGCTAGCTCTGTAATTTAATTTGAACTCGTATTGGCTTTTGAGGGTGTTGAGTGAGTTGTTGTTTCAGGTTCCAGGGACGTGGAGATGGATGCTGGGAGCTGCAGGACTTCCTGCTTTACTGCAGTTCTTGCTAATCATCTTTCTTCCGGAATCTCCTCGGTGGTTGTTCCGCAAGGTTCCCGCCTCGACCTTGGATTCCGGATTCTCGGATTTGACGAGGTGGAGCGCTCGGGAGATTGCAGAGGAGGAAGGGGAAGCGGCAGCAGCCGATCCGCGCGGCGTCGAATCGGAGTACTCCAGAGAGGAAGGGGAGAAGCTCGGGCAACTCTCTAGCGACGATGAAGAGGAATCCATCGCTGCCGCTTAGAGTTGAGCAGTTGCGGCGGCCGGAAAGAGAGGCGGAGGAGGGCGTGTGGTGGGGAAGGTGTTAGAGCGGCAGTTTAAGTTTTTGCAATAATTTCTTTTTTCATTTTTTATAATTATATTTTTTTTATAATGATGTGTAATTTCTAAAAATTTAATTTAATTTTTTAATTATTTTTTATTTGCCACGTCACACATTTAACTGTCAACGGTCAGAGTTGACCGCCACGTCAGTCAAAGTTAACGGAGGTTAACGGAGAGTGACCGAACTTGAACTGTTCAACTAATTCAAGTGACAATAAATGGAATAAATTAATTTGAGTGGCAAACGTGAAATTTTATAGCAATTCGAGTGACCAATCTTGCAATTAAGCCCTCTCAATTCCTATCACTTTTGATAGGAATTGTAATTCCCAAATTTTAGACTCAATGGAATTAAATTCTAGCTCAACCTTTTTATTATTCCAAACATAATATATGGAAATAAAATTGGAAATAAAATTCCAATTCCTTACTTTTTTTTTGTCAATCCAAACAGGCTGTAAATACATACATACTTCTAGATTTCTCGTGAACGATCTTGATTGACGATATACGAAGGTATCTCCATACTTCAAATTTCTAATACTGTGTATGTCGGAAGATTTTGAGGGAAAATGAAACCCCGGAATTTGGGAGTTTCTCAATCATCGTTGACCTTCAGTGGCAAACTACATGACAAACTGTACCATTTTGTTTTTAGAGACGGTCTGGTCCGTCCTCCTACGATTTTTTGTGCTTTGGTTTCTTCCAACTTTTGTTTCCTCTCGTGAGTTCAATCCTGTTGATCGATTCTTTGTAATTTTTCTGGACCTCTTTTGTTTCTTCATTTAAATATTTTAATACCATCGCCATTATCAAAAAATAAAAATAAAACATAACAATTCAAATTAAAGTCCAAAACTATGCGGATCCATTTAATCTTTTTTTTTCTTCAACTTTCGTGATCACGAATTCAAGTATTATTGATGATGACTTTCAATTTCTCAGGTACGTACGTAGTGAGGTAGGGGTGGCTATACAGTCCGGTCCGGTTAAATTGGACCAAATTGATTCGGTCCCAGTTCGGTCTTTTCGGGAATATAAGGACCAAAGATTGGATTGGATACATTCCGGTCTTGATTTGGTCCGATCTTGACCCGGTCCGGTCCCAATTTGATCTTGATTTTAGGTTTTGGGGGTCTCTTATCCAGTCTTTATCCGAGTTTTTTTACCTAAAATCTAAGCCCGAATATGAGATTGGATTATTTGCTATCCGGTCCCAGTCCGATCCCGGTCCGGATTATACAATCCGGTTTCGGGTAAAACCAAACAGTCCGGGACCAAATAGCCAGCGTGACGAATCCATAAGCGGAGAAAGAATGCATGTATGGTTGGCTTAGCTCATCTAAGAAAAAAGACGTTGAGATGGTCCATGCATATTGCATACGTTGCTGCATGTCTCTCTCTGTTTATTCCATATTCACCTATAGCTGCTGCAAATGCAGCTTTAGTTGGTGCGGTTGTGGCCCAGAATTCTCTTATTCCAACTGGTATTGCAATTGTCTACTATTTCGATTCGCGCCCAACCAGAGAGCAAGACATATGGCTACGTCGATATATCGGAATCTTATGTTTTTGCAGTGCAATATCGGTCCCGACGAGGATTTTATACAGAAGAAATGCTCTGCGTCTGCCATGCACTCTCTCGAAACCAAACAAAACAGAAAAAAGGTATATTGCACCTTTATGTGTCCATCGCGATCATGGGGTTTTGGAATTTGGATGCATCAATTAATAGTGGGCAAATTGAAGAGGAAGATCGGTATATATATGTATGGACGTGGAGAAAAGAAGCAGCGAGCTGGAGGAGGAATCACATTATTTAACCTTTTTTTACTTGCTTATCAAATCAATCCATAGGGTAAGATGGGATTTGGGACCGGTTGGTTTAGGATAGACGATTGAGTTTATAGATGTTGTGAAGTACTCGCATTTGATATTACCTACCTCCGCCTAATTACTCCGTGTCGCCTTACTCCATCACCACATCTGAATACCTAACTTGTCACAAAACCTCTAGACAAGACGTTTTGACTTTGTTAAGTCATGTCTAATATTGGCGCCTAAATGTAAGTTCAAACGTAACATTTAGAACCCTTGATTGATACAAATTGTCGATCTCCAATAGTTTTGAATCTCGTAGCAAATGTGAAACCATACGTATAACATGCAAGCATAAACAATGCCCTAAAGCCACCTCCATCTTTCTTATTTTTTCTCACTAAAATATCACTTGCATTAACATTAACATGAACAAATAAATACAATATTCAAGACTCCGAAAACGAGCCAAGCACGAAAGTCAAAACCATTATACGCCATAAGAAACAAATTAAAGAATCTTCTTAGTTAGCTGTTAGATTGTCTATCCTATTGTTCTGCTTGCTAACAAATCGAACCTGCAGTACCCCTGTGTAATAATCAAACAACCGACGAAGCCCCTAATATACGACACCACCTTTGCAAATCGCGCGTAAGAACCCTTTTAACTTATCGATAACTACCTTTGCATCCCCTTCCAAAGCACGATAGTCTGTAGCCCTCCCCTCTCTCTAATAAAGAGTAACGAGAATCCTAGCTTATTCTTAAAACGCCCTAAATGAAACACCAATTCATTGCACCAAATCTTAATTAGCATCACAACAAGCTAAGTCAATCATATAATGCATTTTCCCCACCGGCCGGCCGTACCCCTCGAGAATCATATTATCCTCTTCCATCCAACTTTTCTTTAACCTTTTCCCTTCTTGGTTAAACGTATTTCCCTTTCCCTATATATACCTCCACTTCCCCCCTCCCCGTTTCCACACAAACCAAATTCAACCGATTCACAAGTCAACAAATATTACAAACATCCACTGTTCATTCTTCTCAACCCATTACTCACACGTATTCTATAAGGCCGAAATGGATCGAGTTTTCCAACTGGCGGCGGAGAGGCCGGTGGTGGTGTTCAGCAAGAGCACGTGCTGCATGTGCCACACCATCAAAACCTTGTTCTTCGACTTTGGCGTCAACCCAACGGTCTACGAGCTCGACCAGATCCCCGGTGGCCGTGAGATCGAGCAGGCCCTAGCTCGGCACGGTGTTGCCGGTGACTTTCCTGTTGTGTTCATCGGCGGGAACCTTGTTGGTGGTGCCAATGAGATCATGACCCTTCATCTCAACGGTTCCTTGTCCGGCATGCTCAAACGGGCTGGTGCGCTGTGGCTCTGATCGTCATATATCGATGGTGATGAGATGGGTCCAAAATTTTGGCTAACTTTACTATGGAGTCTTTTCTTTTTCTTCTTAACTAGTCATCGTTGATGATATTTATATAAAAAAAACCCTCTGCCTTTTGGCTAAGCGGCAGAGGGAACTAAAATATATACTTATGTATGTATGTATGTATTGGGATTTCACAAATTAGGCTTTGCGTTACTTTATAAAGTAATGTCTAATGATGAATCGCCCAACTTTTTGTAATATTTCTATATACATCTACCACTGATATATAATAAAGTTTGATGAGAGTTATCTTTTTATATCTTCTTGTGGCTGTCCTTGAATTGTTTTTTTAGATAAGGGTGATATATGTTTTTTTTTTTGTTTTGTTATTAGGTACTACTAAAGGGACTCGAACCTGGGACCTCCAGGTTCATGACTAGTGGTATTACCACTAGACCAATCCCTTGTTCGTTGCTGTCCTTGAATTGTTTGATTGGTCTTTCATGAGATTCAAATAGCTACAACTTGCTAGTTAAGCATAACTCAAATTAAGGTAGCTAGTCACAAAATGTATAATTGTTTCAAGGTTGATCACTGCGGTCGAACGTGAAATACCGGACATGGAACCCAAATCGGCATGCTTTCAAACTCGCGAGTTGGCTTTTGTTTGAGGAGACGTGTAATGAAGTGGTTAAGTATCATACTTGGACTTCTCCCAACAACTCGAGTTATTGAGATCAATTGGTTTACGAACCTCCGATGAATTATGAAGACTCAAGTAAATGTATGAACAAGGTGGAGGTTCAATTATGGATCATATAACATATTGAAAAACTTGTTGATGGGAATTTGAGGCTAGAAGCTTAATTTAAGTCCCCATTGAATGGATTCATCACACACAGGTTTCTTGTTTGGGGTTAAGAGACTTGATAATTGTCTTGAGTTTGCGTAGAGCTAAGAAAAAAAGAAGAAGGAGGAGATGATATCTCAGTTATTACCCCATGTAATCTTTGATTCATTGGATTGGAGGTTGATATGATAAATTCAAGTGTTCACTTTTTCAGTGTTTTGAAAATAACAAAAGACAGAGTGATAGATGAGTAACCTAGGAAAACTCCAAGATCAAGCTTGGTTGGACACATGAGGGCTTGCGAGTTATCTAATAATGAGGAAGGACTAGAGGTTATGTGGTCTTTATTTAATTAATTGCAATTTTTTTTGTATTTACCAATTCAATTTCGTTATCTCAAATACCAAATAACACTGTAAAATCAATATTGTTCTAAAAAATCACTCGTTTTTAGGTAATACCAAATAGCGGTAAATTTGATAATGTATTCGGTACTTCCAGCGCTAGGCGCTAGCTATACCAAGTGCTTCCAAAAGACCATGCGTTTGTATCACCAATTCTTGATTTTTTTATATATAAATGTAACTAATTATGTATCCCCTTGGTAAATAATTTTTTTGCATAATGTACAGAAAGAGGACAAGGACTAACTAACTAATGCGCTTTGTTCATTTGGAGAATTAGGACGACCTAAGCTTTGTCCATTAGAGGTTAGTATATAGTATATATATATTATTATCATATATTCCAAATTCGATTTAATACATACTTCAACAAGACTTACAAATTAAATGCGGCGGGGAGAGGTCTAACATTAGATCTCACAATATTATTCTTTAATTTAACATATATATCTACTGCCGCACAAGCTATAATGAAGTTGGTGGCAATTATTCAAGTAGCAGAAGAGAGGAAGTAGAGCGACTGAGCCAGCCTAGTTAGAATGAATGAATTAATCTGTCCCTTGGCCTCCGTTTGGGGCTGTTTCACAGTACGTGGCCAAAACTCGATCAGAGCCTGAAAACTACGGCCGAACCTTTCTTGGTGATGACGAATAATTATTGTATGTCCACTATTCCTCTACGTATAGTGGGAGAATTGATACGTACTCTCTCTGTCAAGAACCAGTTGGTCCCAATAACTCGAGTTGTTGGGAGAAGGTTCCGCTGGATCTTATATCACTCTCTAACACGCTCCCTCAAACGAAAGCCAACCCATGGGCTTGAAGTTTGCACAGGCCCACCATACCTTGTGCTTTAATTAACTGTTAATATTGGGGGTCGTGGAGATTCGAACACACGACCATTTGGCCAAACCAGCTCTGATACCATGTCATAAACCAGTTAGTCCCAATAACTCGAGTTGTTGGGAGAAGGTTCTGCTGGATCTTATACCACTCTCTAACACTCTCTCTCCCTCTCAGATGTGAAAGAGAGAATCGAATCGGGGAAAGAGAAGACAGTGTCCGTGTATTCTTCAGACTAGGCTAAATACACTACGTATGTATACATACGTAGTGCGGAATCCCAAAGGACAGAAAGAAAGCAGCTTGCTTTCATCCTCTGCAGCAAAATTCCACGTACGTACGGTCCCTTTAATTAAGCCACGCCTGTGAGCTGGAAAAATAAACCGAAGAAGCGCGATAGGCTTACTCTTAGCTCATCACGAAACAGGCAGTGGATATATATGGTCCATGCATACGTTGCTGCATCTCTCTCTCTCTCTGTGTTTATTCCATATTCACTTATACAGCTGCATGCTTGCAAATTGCTGCTTTGCATTTTGGCCTCCAGCAGGCCGGCCTACTATTTTGATTCGCGCCCGACCACAGCGAACGTAATACATATGGGTTCGTCAATATATGGGAATCTTATTTTTGCAGTGCAGGATTGGTCCCGAGAGAGATTGGATCATATCTCGATATATATATATCCCTTTCAGAAGAAATATGCTCGGCCATGCAAATGCAATGCAAGCTTTCCGAAGTCAGAACCAAACAAAACAGAAGGGAAAAAAAAAGGTGTCCAACAGGAATTTGGATGTAATGATAGTGGGGCAAATTGACAGATGAAGTGGAGAAAAGAAGCAGCGAGCAACGGATCGGAGGAACCAAGGCGGTTTTTTACGTTGCCTAACCCCATGAAAACAGTGCCCTAACGCCACGTCCCACACTTGACGAGATTCCATTCCTAGCCAAATTGCACCAAATCTTTACTGTTTGTTATCACAAGGCAATCGTATAATTCCTTTTTTTTTTCTTCTCCACCGGCCGGCCGTACTCGTCCAGAATCATATTATCCGATCTCCAATCCCAACCCAAATTCTATCCAACTTTTCTTTTATTCTTTAACGTAGCTTTTTTTCTTTTTTTTCCCCTCTTCATTGGTTAAGCGTATTGCATACTTTCCCTTTCCCTATATATACCTCCACTTCCCCTCCCCGCTTCCTCACAAACCAAATTCACCCGATCGATTCACAAGTACGTAGTCGACTATTCACTGTTCCATTGCCTAGTGTTCGATCATCATCCTTCACAACCCATTAATTCCTCAGACGTACTCTACTCCACAAGGCCAGAAAGAAAATGGAGCGAGTGTTCCAACTGGCGGCGGAGAGGCCGGTGGTGGTGTTCAGCAAGAGCACGTGCTGCATGTGCCACACCATCAAAACCTTGTTCTTCGACTTTGGTGTCAACCCCACCGTCTACGAGCTCGACCAGGTCCCCGGTGGCCGGGAGATCGAGCAGGCCTTGGCTCGACACGGTGGTGCCGGTGACTTTCCTGTTGTGTTCATCGGCGGGAACCTTGTTGGCGGCGCCAATGAGATCATGACCCTCCATCTCAACGGTTCTTTGTCTGCCATGCTCAAACGAGCTGGCGCGCTGTGGCTTTGATCGTCATACGACGGTGGATCAAATTTTGGCTAACTTTACTATATATGGAGTCTTTTCTTTTTCTTCTTCTTAATTAGTCATCATCATAATGATGATGATGATGATACTGATAAAAACCTGTGTTTTCTTTTTTGGCTAAGCGGCAGAGGGAACTAAAATGTATACTTTTATGTATGTATCGGGATTTCACGAATTAGGCTTTGCGCTACTTTATAAATGTAATGCCTAATGATGAATCTCACAACTTTTTGCAATATCTCTATCTACATTATCTACTGCTAATATATAATAAAAGTTTGACGAGAGCCTTTTATATCTTCTTGTGGCCGGCTGTTCATGAATTGTTTGATTGGTTTTCATGAGATTCAAATAGCTGCAACTAGCTACTTAAGCATAATTCAAATTGGGTATTAACAAAATGTATTAAGAATTTTCAAGATCTTGTTTGATGTACCAAATTGATTGCCTTCGTAATTAATAGTTATATAAAAAATACATAATGATCACCCCTAATCCATAACATTTTTATATGGTGTATGATTTGTAGGTTTAATGTCACGATTGAAATCTTGATGATGACATGATGAGAATTTGAAGTGCGGATTCCTAATAAAAACTAAACTAAGTCCCAATGAATAGATTCATCACAGATTCCTAGTTTGGGTGTAAAATATTTGTTAATGGGTTTTGAGTTTTCTTTAGAGTCCAGAGACAAGGAGAAAGGGGGAAAATGATTATATCTCGTCTTGAGTAATCTTTGATTCGATGGACTGATGGACTGGAGGATGAAAGATGATTGATAAGAGTGCCCACTTTTTAGTGTTCTGCAAATTAAACAACAATAGATTGAAATGAAATTAGAGTGGCCTAAAAATTCGAATGCCAAGCTTGGGTTGGATGCAAGAGGGCTTGTAAGTTACTAAGTGAGGACGGACTAGAGATTGTAGCTTATATATAATTAATCATAAATTTTAGGTATTTCATTATTATACCAATCACAGCCTCATAATCTCAAATACATAATAATACTCCGAAATCAATTCTAATAAAAATAATAACTTTATTTTCAGTAATACCAAATAATGATAGATTCGGTAAAGATATTCGATACTATCCTAAATATCGATTTCAAACTTCCAGCTCTACCAACCAAGAATTCTTGCTATGACTGTTACATCTATTTTTCTGAGCTCTGATCAATCTCAATGGTCAATTAATATATTTTTTTTATTAAATTGAACTTCGGGTTTGAGTTTAGAGAATCGGGGTTCGGGGTTTATCCAGTAGAAGTTAGGGTATAGTATCATATCCCAAACTCGATTTGATTTATGATCTAGATAGAGATCTCTTGCCATAAATACCTTAAATATACTCCAAGAGTACACCAGTCTGACCTCTAGATTGAGATATCCCAAAGTATCCTGAGTATCATACACTCACCGTGACTTAGAGATACGATGATGAGAGATGTAACATTTATATAATATTATTCATGAATTTAAGATGTGATAGCACTATATATTAGTGAAGTAACTCATTCTGATGTCTCTATATAAAAAAAAAACCCCATTCTACTGCCGCACAAGTTCGTGGCAATTCAAGTAGCAGAACAGAGGAAGTATAGCGATCCTAGCTAGAATGAATTAATCTGTACCTTGGCCTCCGGTTGGGGCTGTTTCATAGTACGAACTGCCTGTACTACTTGCATGCGTCCATTTGAAGGGAAACAATATATATAAAAAAAAAAATGATAAGGCTTTGTCTTAGCTCATCAGGAAACTATCAGGAGATATTTCAAGTTATCGTCAAGACTCAAACCGGCAACCATGAATGTCAAAGTGGATCGGCAAGGTTTAAAGGAAATCATCATCATCAAGCTTAATTTAATGTCAATGTTTGTTTTAGACTTTAGTTTGAGTTAATGTTTATCTTTGTAGTCTCCAAATGCTAGCTTGCACATGTTGTCTTGTAGTGCAAAGCTTTTGCCTATTTAAACCCAAGTATGAATGAGAAACACCCAAGGCTTCTAGGGTTTCATTTTCCCCCAACTCAGGTCGACCTCATATAGGATCAGGTCGACCTAATCAGTTGTTTCAGTGTACAAACAGTTTCATGGTGCCTACTTTGGAGATTCATATCTTACAATTGGCTAGATGGAAATTGGAGATTAAAGGCTTGTTTTGAAGCTGAAGTGTCCCTCTACACATTAAAGTACTTGGGAGCTCAATAGAAAGTCCAGAAGACCATTTTTGAACCTGACCAAAAGGCTATGCCAAAACTGGGAAACTGCCTGAAAATGGCTAAGTCTGGCAACGTGTTTGTCAAGCCTACTTTGGAGCTCAATTTGACAAGCATGGATGCGAGTCAAGTCCAGGGGCCTTTACCACGTTAAATTACGTATTTTTTTTATACAAAGGCAAGGCATTGAATGAAAGATTGAATATCTTTAAGGATTCAAACAAAAGGCTCGAAGTTGCTACGAAGGCTGTTTTTCTGGCAGCTTGCTTGTGCTCGAAGTCTGCCAGAAAAACAGCCTTCGTAGCAACTTCGACCCTTTTGTTTGAAGCCTTAAAGATATCCAATATTTCATCCAATTCCTTGAATTTGTATAAAAACATACCTAATTTAACGTGGTAGAGGCTCCTGGACTCGACTCGCATTCATGCTTCTCGAATTGAGCTCAAAAATAGGCTTCACAAACTCGTTTCCAGACTTAGCCATTTCTAGGAAATTTCCCAGTTTTGGCATAGCCTTTTGATGAGGTTCAAAAATGATCTTCTGGACTTCCTATCGAGCTCTCAATCACTTCAATATGTAGAGGGACACTCCAGCTTCAAAACAAGTCATTAGTCTTCAATTTCCATCTAGCCAATTGTATGATATGAATATCCAAACTAGGCACCATGAACTGTTTTTACACTGAAACAACATATTAGGTCGACCGGATCCTATATGAGGTCGACCGAATCCTAAATGAGGTCGACCGGATCCTATATGAGGTCGACCGAATTCTATGTGAGGTCGACCTAATCCTAACTGAGGTCGACCGGAAAGTGCAAGTCACCGTGACATGCATGTCACCGTAGGCACACCCTTAAAAGTATCCTCTACCAACAAATATGTAAATTGCCCTAAAATTATCTCTCTACCGTTAATAGTTTAATTTTTTATTTTATTTTAATATCACTGAAAGTAAATTATTGTTTTACCAACAAATTCCTAGTAATGACCGTCAAAGCCTTGGCTCATTTCCTTTTAGAGGCAAAAACTATCTACCGGAAAACCCAACTTTTTCGAGACAAATTAAAAGGTTGATATTGCCTTTTAAATGAAGAATAATTCAGATAAGTAATGTGCCTCTAAACATATCTTTTCCCCAGCAAACTAATCCACCTCTATTAATCTTTTGTTAAAATAATATGAGAAAAAATATTTTATTTGAAATCAAATATTATTTACATAGTCAAAAAACTCGGAGCGCAGTAACTGCATTCTTTTGCTGGAGGGGCTCCTATGTAACCCTAGATTGTACATCCCTGATCCCTTTCTACATATGTTCGTTATTCTTTCTCCATCATTTTGTTGCGGTCATTCCCAATTCCCATTGAGATCAAATCATCAAACCGCCGAATCATCCTATTCCTAGTTGTTAGGCACTCGTCCATTGCAACTGATGCGGGGTATTTAATCGATCATTCCTCTTTTTATCCTCCTGAAAACATCAATCTTGAGCGCTGCAGATTCCCGTCGAACTACTTCACATCTCCGACATCGATTTTTATCTGGTGCGATTTCTTTTTGGCTGCTTCTTGATTTGATTTTAGATTTCCCTTCCAATATCTTTATCACGGAGTTACAACTTACAACCCCCACTCCTAAATTGGTTATTCCCCTCTGAGGAACGAGCATCAAATTGGAGGCCAATACTTTATGCTTGAAGTTGATATCTAAGGTAACTTGTTTTAAGTTAATGACGATTTGTAATTCAGTTTTTTATGTTTAATTAATAACTGATTGGTGTTGTTCTGGTCTTGCAGCAACATTGGGCAATCACGCAATAGCTGGTGCAAGAATTTAAAGTCTACTTCATGCCAAATGACTTTCATCTTTGCAAACGAGAAGCCTATTGAATTCCGTTGGTGTTCTTGTTTTTATTTGGGACGTTTATATCCCTGCAGTGATTTGATTCATGGATTAACCATGGATAAACAAATAGGAATATCTACTTTTCTAATTGTTAATTCAAATTTTGCGTTCAGTTGCTTAATTGATTTAAGAGATTATAATTAAAGGTGGTTACATGCCTCTGAAAATAGAAAAATAGTTATATAAAGGTGAAATTAGCAACACAAAGTTACCTATTAGAGGCCTAAATTTGTTCCTAAAGATTAATTTAAAGACAACAACAATTGTCCCCAAAACAAACTAAGGGAGCACAAATATGTGCCGCCATATATAACATTAGTGGCATAACTTTATGAGGCTAATGTGAGAAAAAGGACAATTAAATAGTCAATCAAAAGTCACATTAGCAACAAAACTATGTGCTGCAAATTTGAGCATTACCAGCGTATAATATTTGCCGCAAACATCTGTCGCTAAAGCGATTTAGCGGCAACAGTATTGACAACACACTTTTTTGTGCCGCTATAAGGCTATCGCGGCACATAAATGACTTATCGTAGCAAATACACTTAGCCTCTAATTATCATTTTTCTTGTAGTGCGTTTTTACGTTGCTTTTACTGCACCTAAACTATCTCTAGAAAACATATTGTACAACATGCAAGTAAGAAAAATTCGAACCCGAGACCTCCAATTTCTAGACTAGTGATATTACCACTAATCAAACCCTTTTTCGTCGTCACGTCCCTCTCTTTCTTCCCACCTCTCTCTTACGAGATTCGTAGCCAAATCCCTATAGAGCCTAAAATGAAACACCAATTCATTGCACCAAATCTTAGTATTGGCACAAGGCAATCATATATCCGCCTTTTCCCCACCGGCCGGCCGTACTCGTCGAGAATCATATTATCCTCTTCCATCCCTCCAATCCCAACCCAAAATCAATCCAACTATTCTTCAACCTTTTTCTCTTCTCGCTTGTTCGATCCCTATATATACCTCCACTTCCCCTCCCCTTTTCCACACAAACCATTCAACCTTTCTAAACCCACCATTGCTTACTCTTCATCCTTCACAACCCATCATCACTCACATATACTCGATAATCAAGACAAACAGAAATGGAGCGAGTGTTCCAAATGGCGGCGGAGAGGCCGGTGGTGGTGTTCAGCAAGAGCAGTTGTTGCATGTGTCACACCATCGAGACCTTGTTCCGCGATTTCGGTGTCAACCCCACCGTCTACGAGCTCGACCAGGTCCCCGGTGGCCGGGAGATCGAGCAGGCACTGGCTCGACACGGTGTTGCCGGTGACTTTCCTGTGGTGTTCATCGGCGGGAACCTTGTTGGTGGCGCCAATGAGATCATGACCCTCCATCTCAATGGTTCTTTGTCTGCCATGCTCAAACGGGCTGGCGCTCTGTGGCTCTGATCGTCATATGACGTGGATCAAATTTTGGCTAACTTTACTATGCATAACGGAGTCTTTTTTTTCTTCTTCTTCTTCATTAGTCATCGTAATAATGACGACGACGATGATGATAAAACCTCTGCTTTTTTGGCTAAGCATAGCAGAGGGAACTAAAATGTATACTTATGAATATTGTACGTATAGAGATTTCACGAATTAGGCTTTTGCAGTACTTTATAATGTAATGCCTAATGATGAATCTCACAACTTCTTGTAACATCTCTATCTACATCTACTACTACTACTAATATATAATGAAGTTTGATATATGAGAGCTTTTCTTATATATCTTCTTGTGGCTGTCCATCAGTTGTTTGATTGGTTTTCATGAGATTCAACTAGCTATAACTAGCTACTTAAGCATAATTCAAACTGGGTATTAACAAAATGTATTAAGAATTTTCAAGATCTTGATTGTTTGATACACCAAGTAATTACCTTCATAATTAATAGATATATAAAAAATACATAATGATCTGGTCCATCTAGTACTTGTTGTTTGCATTCCCTTTTGTATAGTTTTGTTTCTTCGGTCTGGGATCAGTGCTCCTGATCCTGGTTCCTCCCCTGTACTCTACTCTTTTTGTTTCAGTTAATTTATCATCACCCTTATAAAAAAAAACATAATGATCACCCCTAATCCATAACATTTTTATATGCTACATGATTTGTAGGTTTAATTTCACAATCAATTGAAAATCTTTGAAGTGCGAAAATCCTGATAAAAACTAACCTAAGTACCAATGAATAGATTCATCACAAGTTCCTCGTTTGCGTCTAAGAGACTTGGTAATGAGTATTGAGTTTTCTTAGAGTTAAGGCAGAGATAAGGAAAAGGGAGAAATGATTATATCTTAATTTTTCGTCCTGGGGAATCTTTGCTTTGGATTGGAAGTTGAAAGACGATTATTGAGAGCGTCCGCTTTTTAGTGTTCTGAAAATTAAATAACAATAGATTAAATGAAAAAAGAGTGACCTAGAAAAATTCGAAAACCAAGTTTGGTTTGGATGCATGGGGGCTTGTGAATTATCAAAGGGTGAGGATGGACTAGAGATTGTAGCTTATATTTAATTAATCATAATATTTTTGTATTTCATTATTATACCAATGTCAATCCCATAATCTCAAATGCATTATAACACTCCGAAATCAATCTTGGTAAAAATAATAACTTCATTTCCAGTAATACCAAATAGTGATAGATTTGATAAAGATATTCGATATTATCCCAGATATCGATTCCAAACTTCAAGCACTAGCACTACCAACCACAAATTCCAACAATCTTGCTATGTACGCTTTCCAACCTTTAACTAATGTATCCCCTTAATAAATGATTTTTATGTAAATTAGGCCCGGCCCAGGCCCTGTGCTGGTCAGACCCACAGCACAGGGCCTCAAGGATTATGGGGCCTCGTCAGCCCATAAGCCTAGTGACGCCTCACTCATCTTTCCCAATAATTTATAGGCCCAGTGGCTGCTCTTCTCATCTTTCGCAGGATTTTTGGAGCACATAACAAATTTTGGGCCTCAAGTATATATATATATTCAATCCTGAATTGCTATTCGTCGCCCTAAATTTTAAAAATTATCGCCCTAAATTATATTGAATTGACATTTATACCCCTGACTTAAATTTTCCTAATCCCTACCTCCTTGTTGCGTCCCGCCCACCAGCCAATTGCCGGCCGCCGCCGCTATTTCCCAGAACCCAAACCCGCCGCAGCTCCCATTCCCCGACCCAACTTCGTTCTATCTTCCCACCGCCTACCTCCCTGTCAATTTCCAAGTTAATTTATTCTTCTTCCCAAATCCATTTCCCTTTCCTGTCTCCGTCAAATCACTTTAAACAAATATACTAAAATTAAATAAATAAAGAAAGGGAAAAGAAGGAAGCAGAAGGCAAAGAAACCCCATTTCCCAAACCCGCTGCTCGTCGCCTGCCGCTCCCGAAAAAAGAATTTGATAAGCTTCCCAATCATCTTTTTCTGGGCTAAGGATACCGATGCTAGAAATGGGTTGAGTTCCCGTGTCTGGACTGCTCGGCCCGGATCTCTTCCCATCGTTGGAATTCATTGATTGATGGTGGTCGGCGGTTGGAATGGGGAAGGAGGGAATGGACCAAAATTTAATGAGAAGGGTAAGAGTGTAACTTTATTATGATTTAGGGCGATAAATTCAAAAATTTAGGGCGACGAATAGCAATCCCCATTCAATCCAACAAGGTGGCCCATCGGATCACTCAAAGTCGATTCTCATTTGCCTAACCATTATCCTATTATTATCACCACTATTGAATGTCAAAAGGAGGCTCTTTGTTGTTTCCAGTGTTCACTATAAACTCCAGCTCCACATATGAATTTTTTTTTGTAAAGGGTGATATAGGTTTCATTTTGTTGTTATTAAGATACTAATTCGTGGATTCGAAACTGGTTCCTCCAGGTTCTGCCACTAGGCCAAGTCCTTGTTCATCCACATGAAAATTATTATTTTGTAGATAATGATACATGATATTATTCTTTGTGTAATCATTTTGTGAATTTATGGATTATTATTATTATTTAATTATTATTTTTTATAATAAATTTGTAAGGAAATATTTTTGGGGCCACATTTTTAATTTTTGGACAGGGCCTCCAAAAAATATGGGCCGGCTAATGTAATCGACAAAGCAGAGAAAAAAATAAGGGAGGACCAACTTGTCAATCTTTCATTTCTGTAGCAGCTGGTATACTCTTGGAGTATTAGTATACTCTAAGTAATATTGGATTTACTTTGGCGAATCAGATCATTGATTATTATGTATGAAATTGTTTTTTGAGTTGGGATTAGAGAATCAGAATTCTTGGATTTTATCCATTAGAAGTTATAATATAATATTTTTACCTTCAAACTGGATTTAATTTGTCTAGCTAGATAGATATATTCCACTAGAAATACCATTGGTATCTTATTTCTTACCTCAAACTCGGTTTAATGTCATCTCGATGGAGATATCCCACACACCGACCAGTATCATATACACTCACCCCGAGACTTAGAGATACGGTGATGAGAGATGTAACATAAGATCATGTATAATATTATTCATGAATTTTAACATGTGATACATTCTAATGACTCTAACCAAAAAAAAAAAAACGTTCTCCTGCCTAGCTACAGTGAATTAATCTGGCCCTTGGCCTCCGGTTGGGGCTGTTTCATATATAGTACGTATACGTTGCCAAATCTCAGAGCCTGAAAGGAGCTACGGCCGAACCTTCGTGATGACGAACAATGTATGTCCACTATTCCTCTCTACGTATAGTGGGAGATCGAATTGATACGTACCCTCTCTCTTTCTGTGAAAGAGAGAGTCGAATCGGGGAAAGAAAGAAGAGGACCAGAGAGAAAGTGGGCGTGTATTCTCCAGACTAGGCTAAATGCATACACACATACATACTTCTAGATTTCTCGTGAACAGTAAGATCTTGATTGCTATACGCATGTACGTGTATTATAATACTGCATGTTGTACGTACTAAGGAATCCAAAATTCCGTAAACGGTCCCTTTAAGCCACGTCAGTGAGGTGGAAAAATATAAACTGAAGAAGCTAGCTAGGTTTAGGCTTAGCTCATCAGGAAACAGACAATGGATATGGTCCATGCATATTGCAATATATACGTTGCTGCTTTGCATTTTGGCCTCCAGTCCAGGCCTACTATATTTTGATTCGCGCTAGCTCGACCAGAGAGTAATACGTACATATGGGTTCGACGATAGATATCTGGGAATCTTATTTTTGCAGTGCAGGATCGATCCCGGTGATTGGATCATATATATCTCCCTTTCGGAATTTATCCAGAACCAGAAGTAATGCTCTCTGCCATGCAAGCTTTCAGAACCAAACAAAACAGAGAAGGTGGCCATCGTGATCAATTCATGGGGTTTTGGAATTTGTATTGCAATGGTGGGGCAAATTGACAGAGGAAGATCATATGTGCATGTATGGAAGTGGAGAAAAGAAGCAGCGAGCGAGCGCCAATGAGATCATGTGTATAAAATGGATCGAGTGGTGGTGTTCAGCAAGAGCACGTGCTGCATGTGCCACACCATCAAAACCTTGTTCTTCGACTTTGGCGTCAACCCCACCGTCTACGAGCTCGACCAGGTCCCCGGTGGCCGGGAGATCGAGCAGGCCTTGGCTCGACACGGTGGTGGCGGTGACTTCCCTGTGGTGTTCATCGGCGGCAACCTTGTCGGCGGCGCCAATGAGATCATGACCCTTCATCTCAATGGTTCCTTGTCTGCCATGCTCAAACGTGCTGGCGCTCTGTGGCTCTGATCAAGTCGATCATCACATGGGTCGAAATTTTGGCTAACTTTACTATAATACACAATGGAGTCTTTTCTTTTTCTACTTCTTCTTCTTAATTAGTCATCGTTATAATGAAGATGATACTGATAAAACCTCTGTTTTTGGCTAATCGGCAGAGGGAACTAAAATGTGTACTTATGTATGTATCAGGATTTCACGAATTAGGCTTTGCGCTACTTTATGATGTAATGCCTAACGATGAATCTCAATACTTTTTGTAACATCTCTATATACATATGCTACTCAGGGCCGTCCCATGATATTCGGAGGCCCTGTTCGATAATTTAAAATGTGGCCCTAAAATTTTTCCTCACAAATTTATTAAATAATAATAAAAATTACATAAGTACAAAAAATAATTACAAAAGTAATAATATTATCTATTATTGTTCAAAAAGTAACAATCATCTAGTATTATTTGAAATAAAATTCTTTATTACCCCTTCCATCTTCTCTATATCTTTTGAAAAACAAAATCAAACCATCTATTTCTAAAATAGCATCATCAATAAGTATATCTTTGGACTCTAAATGCTTACTAACCAAATTTGTTGAGTGCAATATTTCATACATGATTAAAAATTATAACCAAAGATTAATTATTCCAAATTTCCAATCAATATTAAGTTCCCTGCTAAAGAAAAAAAAGGTTAGAACTTGAAAACAAATTCATTAGGAGCCCGGATAGTAGGGATTGTCATTGATTAGGAGTTAATTAGAATTGGGTGCGAATAATTAATATTTAGGCGTTGGATGTTTTTGGGGAGGCGAGAAATTTTAGAGAAAGAGAAGAAGAAATGCTTTAAATGCTCTACCTGTTAATTTAAATTCATCAAACAACCTCTAGCTTAACGGTTGAGTCTCTTTTTAATGGAAAGGAGATCCATGGTTCGATTCCTAATCCTTGTGGTTTTTTTGTGGTTCCGCCTGGTTAAGGGGTTGGGCCTTGCCAGCCCAAGAGGTGCCAGCTACGTCCACCCTAATGGATTATAAGGTCTCAATGTGAGCCGCCAGTTAAAGGTGTTGGGATTATATGAGGCCCAGTGAATTATGAGGTTGTGGGCCTCGCCAGCCAAAGGTGTAGCATATGAGATTATATGAGACACAGTTTGGATGGGCCTCCGCTTCAAGGTTATATATTATGAGGCCCCCAAAATTTGAGGCCCTGTGCTGTGGGTCAGACCAGCACAGGGTCTGGGCCGGGCCTGATGCTACTACTGCTGATGTATAATAAAAGTTTGATGAGAGTTCTTTTTACATCCGTTATAAAAAATATAAAAAATATTTTTTTATATGGTGTATGCTTTGCAGGTTTGATTATTTCACGATTTAAAATCTTGGTGATCGAAGTTTAAGTTGAGAAAAATCTAATAAAAACTAATCTACCTTCAGTGGCGGACCCAGAAATTTTCCATAGGGGTGTCCTCTTTTAAAAAATGAATTAAATAAAAATAAAAATAATTAATAAAAATAAAATCGTAAATATGAAAATACTTTACTCGTACAGGTTAAAAAAGTCCATGATGTGTTTTCATATTCGAAAATAATTGTAGGATACACTTGGTGTTTATAGTGTTAAAAAAAATTCTCTATATACCCTACTAGACAATCATTCAGGAAGTTATCGCATATTCGATTTGTAAACTTGTTCTTGATGTAACCCAAAGCTGAAAGACTCTTCAACACTTGCCGTACAATCATAAAATTAACAAATTAAGGGTAGATTGAAATTAGTTTAGATTGAAATAATTAGAGATAGGGAATGACTTTTTACTATTACGCATTGTTCAAAATCGAACAAATGAGTTGTAGCTCAACGGAAATTAAGTTTATTAATGATAATAATAGTGTTCTAGATTTGAATTACCCAACCTACCATTTATATTTTTATACACAAACGACAGTAGGATAATCATTTTTTCAAATTTCAGGGGTGTCCCTCACTATCAATTATATTTTTTTGTCTATACATAAATTACCACCTGGGCTTGGATAATCATTTTCCCGAAATTTAGGGGTGTCCGGGTCCGCCCCTGTCTACGTCCTCTTTAGTGATCATCACAAATTCTCCATTTCGGGCTTAAGAGACTTGGTGATGGGTATTGAGTTTGCCTAGAGGTAAAATAGCTAGGATTAAGGAAAAGGGAGGAGAAAATATCTCAAGTATTTGTCCTATGTAATCTTTTATTTGATGAATTGGAGGTTGAGAGATGGATGAGAGTCTTTGCTTTTTGGTGTTCTGAAAATAACAATAGATTGATGAAGGCGAGAGTGACCTAGGAACACTCGAAAGTCATGCTTGGGTTGGATGCATGGGGGGTTTGCTAGTTAAAAATATGTGAAGAAGGACTAGATGTTGTGAACTATATTTAAATAATTGTAATTTTTTTGTATTTTTTGTATTATTGTATATACCAATCTCAATCATATAATCTCAAATATTTAATAACACTCTGAAATCAATCATAATTAAAAAAAACTCAGTTTTCACTAATATCAAATTCTTGTGAATTCAGTGGTGTGGTATTCTGGATATCCCATATATCGATACCAGCTCCAACACTATCTTTACCAACCAAGAATTCTTGTTATAGTACCAGGGATCAATAATTCTGCCCACCCCCACTCCTAGGGGTGTTCAAATGGTTACCATGATAATAACCAAACCAAATAAGTCTAAAATCTATTAACCATGAAATATAATATCATAACCAAACCGTCCAAACTAATACAACAACCAAATTAACCAAACTAAAGTTTATTCGATTTGGTTAATTGGTTAACCAAAATAACCAATATAACACCGCATTATCATTAAGTGAGAAAATTTTTCAGTTAGTGCATCAATTTGCAATTTATATAATGAACAACACATAACAATCCACATAATTGTAGTTAACCCTTAACGTAAATACATGTAACAAATACAATTATCTTTCATATGACTCTTGAGTGGTTATGGAAAGTATTAAGTATGTGTATATAATATATATTAGATATATGATAAATTACTTAACTGATTAATTTGGTTTAATTGGTTAGGAGTGCCTGAAACCAAACCAAACCACCTAAACCAAACAAGCTAAAAATTTTAACCAAACCAAACCAATTATCGAAATTAACCAAACCAAATTAACCAAATACTATTGGTTAAAATGGTTACCACGGTAACCACACCGTTTGAACAACCCTAGTTATATATATATATATATATATATATATATATATATATATATATATATATATATATTCGTTCCACCCTTTAATTCTAGATTTATCGATATTGAATCGATTGAACGCACTTTTAATAATTATTCCATTTCTGGAAGACCATGCGTTGTATCACTATATTTCGATTTTTATATATAAATGTAACTAATCCTCTTCATAAAATATTTTTTCATAATTGCAAAGCATAAAGATAATAAGGACTAACTAACCAACCTTTCTTTCGTTTCCGTATAGCCTACTCCTGGAGTATACTATATATAATCCGAGTGATATTATTGTTTGATGTACTTTGGTGAATTAGATCGCAGATTATTATTATTTATTAAATTGGGCTTTGAGTTTGGATTTAGAAATCGGGATGTGAGCTTTAACCATTAGAGGCTAGGTTTTATATAATGCATAGCCAAAACTCGATTTAATTCATTCTCAAGATAAATATAAATCCGAATTGGAGTACTCGAAGTACACTTCACCAAGTTGAGGAATTTTACAATGCTTTGAAGCATTGGTGCTTTAAACATTGTGGTACAGCTTTAGGTTGTACCTATACAACTTTATAAAATCTCTTTATGGTACAAACTAGTTGTACCTTTATGTTATGTTACAAATTTACAATTTAATATTGTACCACAATATAAATGTCAAATTTCCTTATGGTACAATTTCAATTTGTACTTTTAACTTTATGATACAACTTCAAGTTGTACTTTGAAGCACCAATACTTTAAAGTATAGTAGAGTGTGGTCTACAAGTTACGGTGATGAAAAATGAAACATTTGATCTAAGGCTTACCCTTAAGTCTTAGGCTCTTAGCTCATCACGAAGCAGACAGTGGATATGGTCCATGCATATTGATATTGCATACGTTGCTGCATGTCTCTCTATCTATCTGTTTATTCTATATTCAGCCATAGCTGCTGCAAATTGCTGCTTTGCAGTTTGCCCTCCAGGCCTACTACTTTTATTCGCGCCCGACCAGATCGAGACTAGAGTAATGCACACATATGGGTTCGACGATATATGGGAATCTTATTTTTGCAGTGCAGAGAATCGGTCCCGAGAGAGATTGTATCATATCTCGACTTATCCAGAAAGAAATGCTCTGCCAAGCAAGCTTTCAGAAGTCAGAACCAAACAAAACAGTAAAAGATGTCCATCATATGATCACTGGGTTTTGGAATTTGAATGTAATGGTGGGGCAAATTGACAGAGGAACATCATATATGGAAGTGGAGAAAAGATGCAGTTGTAAGGAAGTGGTTAAGCAGCATTACACGGGCCTGTATAAGATCCAACATAACTTTCTCCTAACAACTCGTGTTATTAGGACTAACTGGCGTTTTTGACATGGTATCAAATCTGGTTTATCATTGAGGTCGCGTGTTCAAGTCCTCACGGCCTCCAATATTAATCGTTGTCTTTCAAGCACATGATATGGCGGGGCTGTGCAAACTTCAAACCCAGAAGTCGGCTTTTGTTTGAGGGTGTCTGTAAGAAAGTGGTTAAGCACCATTACACAGGTCTGTATAAGATTCAACATAACCTTCTCCCAACAACTCGAGTTATTGAGACTAATTGACAGCAACAAGGAAGAGTGGAGGAGGAATCACATTATTTAACATTTTTACATATATACCGTAGTACCCTAGAATAATCCTAGTGATGTGCTTTATCTAGCGCCTAACATCACCTAAACGTGCTTAGACGGCGCGATGCAAAAATAGCAGCTTGTGTAGCAAATGATTAATGTAATAGCCGTTTACAACACTTTTGTATTTTGGGTCGAATAATTAACAACTTATTCAACACATAACAATAAGAAAATTAAACTTGTATTTTGGGTCGAATAATTAACAACTTATTCAACACATAACAATAAGAAAATTAACTTATAATAAGTTGGTAAGATCATAGTTTAATAGCTGACATACATATATAGCTGTTGAGCTATTAAAAAAATCAAGAGAGAGTGGTAAATATCATAGTCAAATTGCCTAGCACCCATGACAATGAAGCTATATAAGCGCCTTTTTTGTCCATACAAATTCTCTCCAATAGTTTTGAATCTCGTGGTAAATGTGAAACCTTACGTTACAACATGCAAAAAAAAAAAAAAAAAACCAGTGCCCTAACGCCACGTCCCACTTTACAAGATTCCTAGCCAAATTGCTAAATGAAACACCCACCAATAATTCATTGCACCAAATCTTACTGTTTGTTATCTCAAGGCAATCATATAATTATGCCTTTTTTCCACCGGCCGGCCGTACTCCTCGAGAATCATTTTATCCCACTTCCAATAGTCCAATCCCAACCCAATTTGTATCCAACTTTTCTTGAACCTTTTATTCTCTTTTTAATTGGTTAAGCGTATATATTTCCCTTTCCCTATATATATATACCTCCAATTCCCCACCCCGTTTCCACACAAACCATTCAGCCCATCCACACAAGTCCACTATATATTACATTCACATACATTCACTGTTCCATTGCCTACTCTTCATTGCCTACGTACGCAACTCAAATAAACAGAAATATATGGATCGAGTTTTCCAATTGGCGGCGGAGAGGCCGGTGGTGGTGTTCAGCAAGAGCACTTGCTGCATGTGCCACACCATCAAAACCTTGTTCTTCGACTTTGGCGTCAACCCAACGGTCTACGAGCTCGACCACATCCCCGGTGGCAGGGAGATCGAGCACGCACTGGCTCGACACGGTGCTGCCAATGATTTTCCTGTGGTGTTCATCGACGGGAACCTTGTTGGTGGTGCCAATGAGATCATGACCCTCCATCTCAAGGGTTCCTTGTCTGGCATGCTCAAACGAGCTGGTGCGCTTTGGCTCTGATTGTCATATCGATGATGAGATGGGTCCAAAATTTTGGTTAACATTTTACAATATGCACAATGGAGTCTTTTCTTCTTCTTGGATCTGATATTCTGATTAGTCATCGCCATAATGCATGATGATGATGACGATTAAAAACCTCTGTATTTTGGCTAAGCATAGCGGAGGGAATATACTTATGTATGTATGTATCGGGATTTCGTGTATTAGGCTTTGCAATACTTTATATAATGTAACGCCTAATGATAATGAATCTCCCTACTAGCTACTTTTGTAATATCTCTATATACATCTACTAATGCTGATGTAATATAATAAAGTTTGATGAGAGTTTTTTATACATTCTTTGGTTGTCCATTGAATATATTGTTTGAGTGGTCTTCATGAGATTCCAGTAGCTGCAACTTGCTAGTTAAGCCTAAGGGACAGCGCGCGCATGGTCTTCAATATGAAATATGTTGATATGGTATTGATATTCCAGAAGACCAAAGTAATGACCTACATATATAATTAATAATAATATAAATAAATTAATAATGGTTCGATCATCCCTAATCTCTAATATATTATATGAGTGTATGCTATGGAGCTTTAATTTCAAGATTATTGAAAATCCTTGTGATGGGAATTTAAATCTAAGTCTACATTGAATGGATTCAACACAGGTTTTGGGGTTAGGAGCCTTGGTAATTGGTTTTGTGTTTGCATAGAGATAAGGCAAGGACAAATAGATAAGGGAAGAGATCGATGATGATATCTCAATTTTTTATCAGATGTGTAATCTTTGATTCGATGGATTGGAGGTTGAGAGACGAAGAATGAGAATGTCTACTTTTTTGTATTATGAAAATAACAAGAGGTTGAATGAAAGACGAGAGCGACCTAGGAAAACTCGAAAGCCAAGCTTGGTTGGATGCATGAGGGCTTGCGAGTTATCAAATAATGACAAAGGACTAGAGGTTATGGTACTCTTTATGTATATTTTTTTTTTTTGTATACACCAATCTCAATTCTGTAATCTCAAATACTGAATAACACTCTGAAATTAATCTTTTTATTTTATTTTTGTAAGTACTCTGAAATCAATCTTAATCCCAGAAATAACTCGATTTTAGGTAATACCATATAATAATAAATTTGATAAAGTATTCGGTAATATCCCAAATATCGATTCCAAACTAGCTTTGATTCTGTTTGCTAGGTTTATCTATATTAAATCGACTAAGCGCACTTCTAACACTTATTTCACGTTTGGAAGACCATGCGTTGTATTACCGGCCATCTCGATTTTTTTGTATATTAATGTACTACTGTATCCCTTGCATTCATCAAGGTTTTTTCCGTAATGGACAGAGCAAAAAGGATACAAGGACTAACTGATGCATTTTGCCCATTGAAGAATTGAGATTTTTTGTCAAAAAAAAAAGAATTGAGATTTGAGCTTTCTCATTTGAGGGTATATAATAGCAATACTTCAAACTCGATTTAATTTATAATCTAGATAGATATATCTCGCAAAAAGTAAATGGGGTCTCATATACACTAATTGTACATTTTTGGCTGCACCTAACCCATTCTACTGCCGCATAATTTCGTGGCAGTTCAAGTAGCAGAACCTAGCTAGAACGAATGGATTAATCTGGCCCTTGGCCTCCGGTTGACGTACTAAACTCACGACTACACTTCGGCATGCATGCGTCCATTTGAAGGAAAAAGAATTCAAAACAGTAAGAATAAATAATCGTACGCATGTAGGTTTGTCATTTCCGAAATATATCGTACGTGGCGAAATCTCAGAGCCTGAAAGCTACGGCCGATCCTTCGCGATGATGAATAATATATGTCCACTATTCCTCTATGTATAGTGGGAAATCGAATGAATACGTACGTACGTACATATTCTCTCCGTGTAAGACACAGAGAGAATCGATCGATGAAAGAAAGAAGGCAACAATACGTAAATACATACTTCTAGAGTTCTCGTGAACGATCTTGATAGTTATAAGACTCACACGTACGTGTGTATTATAATACTGTGTTGATGTGATTTGAATCGGACTATCAGCCGCGCTACGACAATATGGAGAAGTACTATAACCGTTTCCTTTGCCATATCGGATTAGGTTTAGACCCACAATATGGAGAAGTACTATAAATACTTCTCATACTCCTCTGTAATCTGTAATCTCCTCGATATAGTGAAACTGGCTCTTTCTCGCCCGTGGACTAGCTAACACACATCGTGTTAGTAAACCACGTAAATCACGTGTCTGTGTTTTTTTTAATTCTCACTTTCGTATTCTTACTTTATCAATTCCGGCGATTTCCCGATCCGTAGCGGCGCGTTTATAACATACTGCATATGTTGTACGTAGTGAGGAATCCCAAAAGAAAAAGGAAAGGAGTGGACCTAGCTTTGCTTTCCTCTCTCCAACAAAATTCCATATACGATCACTTGGAGGCTGGAGCCATGCAATATTATTGACCTGTCTGTGTGGTGGAGAAATATAAAGTGAAGAAGCTATCCAGCTCGCTCGAGACGAATTTTTTTTCCTGCCATATATGGCTGGCTTAGCTCATCATCAACAAACAATGCATACGTTGCTTGCATGTCCCTCTCCTTTGTTTATTCCATATAAATATATGCACGTATAGCTAGAAATGCAGCCTTCGTGCGGTTGTGGCCCTTTTGCTTCACATTTTGCCCTCGAGGCCGGCCTACTATTTTGATTCGCGCCCGACCAGAGAGCACGTAATACATATGGCCTCGACGATATATGGGAATCTCATTTTTGCAGTGCAAGATCGGTCCCTGCCCGACGATTGCAATAATATCTTATCCAGAAGAAATGCTCTGCAGCCATGCATGCACTCTTTCGAAACCATCGCGATCATGGGGTTTTGGAATTTGGATGTAATGGTGGGGCAAGTTGACAGAGGAAGATCGTATATGTATGGAAGTGGAGAAAAGAAGCAGCGATGGAGGGAGGAGGAATCACATTTAACCTTTTTTACATACATATCAAATGATGAATGACTAGCGTAAGACTAGAGCTGAACAGTGGCGTAGTTAGGATTTTACACAAGGAGTGTCATTTTCTTAATTAAAATAAATATATCTTACATGATAAATTATTAATCCTATGTAGTGACTCACAACGTTTTTCCACTATATATACATTTTAAAATAGGGTTAAAGACACATTTGGTCACTGAGATTACAAAATCGGGACATGTTTAGTCACTAGAATAAATTAATATCAAATTTGGTCACTACAATTACTAAAATAGGTCATATTGAGTCACTCTCCGTTAGTCTCCGTCCAACTCCGTTAGTGGAGTCCGTTAAGTGCTGACATGGCTAACGGATGCGCCTAGTCAGCATCGTTTTGACCCAAAAATCATCATACCCGACCCGCCACGTCAGTTTCACCCGCCATGTCATACACCAACCCAACCATTAACCCAACCCGACCCAAAACCAAACTCAACCCACCTAACAAAAAAAAAAAAACGCGACCTGTCCCCGCTCAGCCGCGCTCCAAACCAAAACGCCGCCGCCAAACTCAGCCGCAGCGGCAGCACTCTCCCGATCCGCCCCGCGCTCAACAATCCCATCGCCTGGACCGCCCTCGGCTCCACCAGATCCGCCTCCACACCCACCTTCCTACACCAATTCGCGAAAACGGCCCCGATCTTCCCCTCGCAGGCTCCAGATCTCGGCGGCGCGTTGTTGCTCCTCGGTCCCTGCCGCTGGTCCACCGTCTCGCCGCAGCGGATGGGGAATTTCGCAGTGGAACTCCCCGATTCGGAAGGGTTGGAGGACGAGCAGCAGGAGATCGAGTCCATCTCTTGCTCCGAAGAAACGCTCTCCACCTCCGACGAGGAGCAGGAGGCGCAGGCGGCGGAGTGAGGAAGGGATCTGGGTCCGAAAACGGAGTTCTGGGTGAGGCAGCGGCAGGTCCGGCAGAGCAGGAGGCGGAGGTGGCGGGAGACGAGGAAGTTGGCTTGGTGAACTCTGGCGTCGCAGTTGAAGCAGAGGAAGGCGTCGTCGGAGTTGCAGTAAACGTCCGGCGCTCCTGCGCAGAGCTCGCAGATCTTAGCCCGGTCCTCCATTGAATCAAAAAGAATTCAGAAACGAGAGAGGAAGGAAGAATGGGTGGTGATTGTTAGAAGTGATGGGATTAAATAGAAATGGTGGGAAGGTAAAAGGGGGAAACGAATCTTGTGGTGAGAAATAGAGGGGAAGAGATTTTGGGGAGGGAGGGAATTGAGGAAGAGAGATTCAAGGAGAGAACAGAGAGAGAGAGAGAGGTTGGATCGGTGGTGTTTTCTGGTGTTTTCGGGAGAGTGCTGCCGCTGCGGCTGAGTTTGGCGGCGGCGTTTTGGTTTGGAGCGCGGCTGAGCGGGGACAGGTCGCGTTTTTTTTTTTTTTTGTTAGGTGGGTTGAGTTTGGTTTTGGGTCGGGTTGGGTTAATGGTTGGGTTGGTGTATGACATGGCGGGTGAAACTGACGTGGCGGGTCGGGTATGATGATTTTTGGGTCAAAACGATGCTGACTAGGCGCATCCGTTAGCCACGTCAGCACTTAACGGACTCCACTAACGGAGTTGGACGGAGACTAACGGAGAGTGACTCAATATGACCTATTTTAGTAATTGTAGTGACCAAATTTGATATTAATTTATTCTAGTGACTAAACATGTCCCGATTTTGTAATCTCAGTGACCAAATGTGTCTTTAACCCTTTTAAAATATATGTTTATATAAACTACCAAAGATATTATTGTCAATATATCCTACCAAATGATTCATAATTTTCCTTATCATTCCATCCACGGAGAGTTATGTTAAAGTCACTCTAGTGATTATGGATAGCCGAGGAACAACAATTGGAATGAGATGGTAGAGGTGAAAGACTTAGTAACCACGTTTGACTGGATAGTTAGATATTGGACGCATAGTGGTGTTGTGGGAGGTTAAGAGTCACCACAATTTAGAGTTAACAATTATCTAAAACATTAGAGATTTAAGAGATTGCGTTAAGCATATATGAATTTTATTTAATTCGTGTACAAACTATGATATCGTTTATATAATTGTAAATAATTTAAATGTACATTCTTAATTTAGTTTGATGATAGAAATAATTAAGTACAAGGAATAACCTTCTATATTCAAGTTCCATTGCCACCAATCTACTATATATACTATTTTAACTAGGGGTGGCGATACGGTCCGGTCCGGTTAAATTGGCCCAAATTGATCCGGTCCCAGTCCGGTCTTTTTGGTAATATGGGGACCAAAGTTTGGATTGGGTACAGTCCGGTTTTGACCCGGTCCGGTCCCAATCCTGTTTTGACATGTTTTGACCCAATTTGACCATGTTGCAGAAAATTCAGCAGCATATACCCATTTTCCTAGAATGTAGACAACCTGTTTGTAGCAAAAATCAAGCCAAACATAGTCTAATACAAAATCACAACCATCAATAATGTCTATTACAAACTCAAAGTCCAATTCAAACTTCAAAATAAAAATAAAGTGCATCACAACTCACAAGTTCACAACCAAAGTTTAGACATCAAACACCAAATTCACTCCAAAATAACAAATTCACCATACCATTTCTACTCATTAGGATCAAGAGAAACAAATGAAGCATTAGATCCACCTCCTTGATTTGTTCCACTCCTCGAGCCAAACACATCACTCCCTCCGACATTGCTCGTACTTGTACCTTCGTGTCCACTCACATGCTCACACCTTTCCGCCTCATCCACCATAATAGCATTGTAAACTAAATGACATGGATCAAAAAAATATAATTGTTAGCAATAGCATTTATATGCTCACACCTTGTGGTTGTGGTCGCTTCTTACTAGGAAGAGGAGGCAAATTTCCACTTTCTCTTGATGCCGAAACTCGCTTCTTACTACTCTTCACAACACAATTCAATCAATATCAGAAAATGCACTTTACTTCCTTCTCCATTAAAGAACAAACAACCCAACTTCTGATCCTTAGTCCCCTCCAACTTTCCACCATTCAATTCATCACATTCCATCATTTTTTGTTGTTGTTAATGATGATATATAATAAAAATAAGGAAAAGAAATTAGAAGTTATAATACAAATTAGAAGTTAGAATTCAACCAAACAACATCAGCATTTGGCAGAGGAGGAAAGTAAGGGGGAAATGGAAAAGTTAGCTAGTTTTGTTAACTCTGGCAAGCAAACCAGAGTTGAAGAAATGGCATTAAGTTTAGTAGCAAACAACAACAACACGTTTCGTCCACTAAAATAACAGCAAGACTTACATCACATCAGCAAACAACAACAGCAAGACTTGCATCACATTCAAAATCTTCTAGTGACTAGATTAAATCAATTCATCACTAAAATAAATCAACAATAACTTACCCAGCTGCTGCTCCCTTCCATATTTCTGACTTTTGTAGCTGTTGCCGACTGTGCTAGTAGACGAACGGAGGGCGACGAGACGAGATGCAGGGTCGTCTTTGGAGCGGAGGCTTCCTGGGTCATCTCTTGGAACGGAGGGCGACGAGATGCTGACTAGCTGGTCGCGCGTCGTCGTCGAGCTGATCGGAGGCGGTCGCCGACGGGACGGAGTTGAGGGCGGAGGCTTCATGGGTCGCGTCGGGACGGAGTGGAAGCTTGCAAATGAGAGGAGGGAGCGAACAGCTACTCCGCGGATGGCGACCAGCAACGAGAGGAGGTGGGTCGACGTCGGCGGCGGGAAGTGGCTTGGTTCCTTGGTGGAGCGTCGACGACGACGACGCGATGGTCCGAGACTCCGGGCGATGGAATGAAACTTGACTCTTGAGGAAGAGGGAGGCGGCTGATGCTGTGATGCAAAATTGCAAATTGGAGGAAAGCCACCCAACCCTACAGCAGACAGCTCGCCTGGGCCGACGAGAGGTGAGTGGGTTGTGGGCCGAGAGGGTTTTGACCGAGTTTTTTGCTGGCTGGGCTTATTTTTAATTATCCGATCTTCCGGTTTTTACACGGTTTTGACCCAAACTGGATTGGTCCGGATTTTTTGCTAATTCTAAGATCAAAGACGGGATTTGATTGTTTTAAATCCGGTCCCGGTCTTAAAATGGTCTGGGTTTTACGATCCGGTTTCCGGTTTTCCATCCGGTCCCGGTCCAAATTGTCAGCCCTAATTTTAACCCTTTCTCCAATCCAAGGGTGTGCACGGGCACCCCCTCCCTACACACTCCCTCCGCCCCTGGCGTTGAGGTATTGTCCTGCCCCCTAACTAATCACCTAAGCATGTCTAGATGGTGCAAGAAAAATTAGCGCAGCTAGTATTCAATGATGAATGCAACAACATTTCACAATACTTTCGCACTTTAATTCGAATGATTAGAAACGTGCACGTAGCCACAAGAAAACTGAGTTATAAGTTCACATGGTCATAGCATAGTAGCTCCTAGTTCTTGAAATATTTGAAAAGATTTAGAAAGTGTAAGGAAGTGGTAAAGATCCTACAAAAACATCTAGGAACAACACTAGTTATTAACATTAGTTGGTTTATAACATGATATCAGAGTCGGCTTGATCATGATGGAATCATATGTTCATGTTCATACGACCCTCAATATTAAAAGTTCATTCAAGCACATAGTATGTCGGACTAGTGCAGATCATAAATAAATGAATTTTTCATTTTTCATTTTCTATTTTCCCACTACTGTATCGGTTCCTATCTTTGTGGGAAGTGTATAGCAATTCTGTTGCTACGTGCTCCTACTTTACCTCCCAAAGATTGTATATTAGTTTACATAATTCTCAAAGAGAATCAAGTTGAATTTTTCCACAACAATCAAATCTGCAAAACTCTTTCATGGTATAAGAGCAAGCAACGATCGGCTAGATTCGATCCATCTCATCCTCTCTCTTCTGCTTCGCTGTTCACTTCGTTTCTCTCTATTTTTCTCATTGTGATGGCAGGGGATTCTGCTTGTACTGTTTCAACCAATGGATCTAGCAATTCTGGGAATTCTATTATCACCTTCAATCCTGCTGACCAGCTTCCCCAGAAGCTCACTCCCACAAACTTTGCTTCGTGGCGATCCCAGCTTGAGACTCTTCTCATGGGACTTAATCTAATTGGTTATATCGATGGTACCAAAACAGCTCTGCCCCAATCAATCACCATGGATGCAGCACCTGCTCCCAATCCTGCCTATCACAACTGGTTCAGGCAAGACAAACTCATCCTTTATGCTTTATGTTGTTCCATTGACGAATCCATCTACTCCTTCGTCTCTATTGCCACCACTGCTCGTGACGCATGGTTAGTTCTGGAGAAACTCTATGCTAGCAACACTCAATCACGGATTATTCATCTTAAGGGAAAACTTGGGAAAATTGTCAAAGGAAATTGCGACATTCCCACCTTTGTCAATGATCTCAAGGCCACTGCGACTGAACTTGCACTCATTGGCGAGCCAGTCAAGGACATTGATATTGCTGTGTACTGTCTCGGAGGTCTGGGCGATGATTACAAACCCTTTTCCATCGTTGTTCGTGCACAGGGTCCTGGTCTTACTCTTGAAGATCTTGTTGACTCATTGGTCGAGTATGAAGCTGATTTAAAAACCCAGATTCCTACCTCTGTTCCGACTGCCTTCTTCACCCAAGGACAACGACACAGCTGTCAGTCTCAATCTCCTTCACGGCTCATCTCTCGGTCGCCGAATCCCTACCCTGAAGCCTCTTCTCCACGTGGGTTCCATGGTCTTATCCAGTGGGCTTCAGGCCCATTTCCACAGTCCAAGTCTGGCCCTTCCTTCCCTGCTGATCAGTCGGGCCTCTCTCAGCGCAGGCCTCGCACGATCTGCCAGTACTGTAAAAGCCTGGGCACTCTGTGCGCCAGTGCTTTCAATGATTTCCCCAGGCCAGGCAGGCCCATCTCCAGGCTCGACAAGCCCAGACTCATTATACCAATGCTGGCCCACCTCTACTGCCCTCGGCTAGAAGTCCGCCTCCACCTTATCAAAATTCTTGGTTGATGGATTTTGCAGTTTCTCACCATGTCACCGCAGAGCTTGGCAATTTATCACTGTACTCTGATTACACGGGATCAGATTAAATCATTATTGGAAATGGCTCGGGTTTGCAGATCAACCATATTGGCTCTTCTCATCTCTATAACGGTTCTCACTCTCTGTCTATACAAGATGTCTTACATGTTCCTGCCATCAAAAAACATCTTATTTCTGTGGCTCAATTATGTCGTACTAATCCAGTGTCCATGGAATTTTTTGCCACTCATTTTGTTGTGAAGGATCTTCGCACGGGGGAGCAACTATTGAAAGGGGAAAACAGAGGTGATGTGCATGAGTTGTCGTCGGAGGTCGAACCAGCTCGTATGGCGCTTGTCACCACTCGTACTTCTGCAGATTCGTGGCACTCGCGACTTGGTCATCCTTCTCAGCAGTCACTCCGCAGTTTGCTTTGCTCTCATTCCCTTCCAGTTTCCTCGTCATCTTCCCTTCATCATTGTGATGCTTGTCTCTCTAATAAATCTCACAAACTTCAATTTGGTGTTTCATCTCTTTCGAGTACTCGCCCTTTTTCATCTACTTTATACAGATGTTTGGGGTCCAGCCTATGTTTCCTCAATTGAAAAATTTCAGTATTACCTCATTATAATTGATCATTTCTCTCGTTACACATGGTATTATCCACTTCGTCAAAAATCTTATGTTCTTCAATTTTTTCTCGATTTTCACGCTATGGTTGAAAACTATTTCTCTTCCACCATTCACCGGATTTATATGGATGGTGGTGGTGAGTTCCAAAATTTATGTTCTGCCTTGGCTGGTCATGGCATTAGTCACCTACTTACCCCTCCTTACACTCTGGAGCATAATGGCTTAGCCGAACAGAAACATCGCCACATCGTTGAAACTAGTATCACCCTTCTTCACAATGCCAATCTTCCATCTCTTTTTTGGTCCTTCGCTTTCTCGACGACTATTTATCTTATTAATCACATGCCCTCATCTGCTCTTCGCGGCCAAGTTCCATACACTCTCCTGTTTAACCAAACTCCCAATTATCATAAACTTCGTATTTTTGGTTGTTTTTGTTATCCTTGGTTTTGCCCCTACGCAACAAATAAACTTGAACCTCGATCCCGCCCTTATCTCTTCCTAGGCTATTGCCCGCAATGGAATGCCTATCATTGTTTTGATCCCCTTACGAGCCGCCTTTTTCTATACCACCATGTTTGCTTTGTGGAAGATACTTTTTCCCGGTTTCTCTTCTCCTGCTTCTATCCCTCCTCCATCGACTGTTGCTTGGATTTTGGATTCAAGTCCCACCATTACTAATCTGCAGGTACCTCGGCCCAACTCTACACACATCAGCCCCACTCCCTCTGGGCCTCTCTCCCCTTCGACAGCGGCATCCTCTTTCGAAGAGCTTTTCTCAACATCATCTGCCACGCACACTGGCCCGGTTTCTGAGCCCATAATGCCATCATCCGACCCTGCTCTCCCACCTGTCCTCCCACCTCTTCCTCAACGAGTTCATTATATGACCAATCATGCCCAAAATGGGATCTTCAGGCCCAAGAAGCTATTTCATGCCGCTGCTGGTCGCCTTTCCGCATCGCCTCCTAGTTTTCCCGCGGCACCTTCCCTGCCGCCGCTTGAGCCTACAAATGTTAAAGAATCTCTCCTCTACCCTAAATGGTATGTCGCCCTCAACGCTGAAAATCAGGCCCTTAATGCTAATGACACATGGGACCTAGTTCCTCGGCTCCCCCATTATAATGTTTTGGGGAATCGATGGGTCTACCGCATCAAGCGCGACCCTGACGGCTCCATTGCTCGGTTCAAAACCCGGTTGGTCGCCAAGGGGTTTCATCAACGGTCTGGAGTCGACTTCAATGATACCTTCAGTCCGGTGGTGAAGCCAGTCACCGTCCACACTGTTTTTACTCTTGTTTTGTCCCAGAACTGGTCAATTGCCCACTTCGACGTCAACAACGCTTTTCTTCAAGGCCCCTTAACTGATGAAGTCTATATGGTTCAGCCTCCCAACTTCGTGGATCCCGACCATCCTCATCATGTCTGCCGTCTCAAATGCGCAATCTATGGCCTCCGCCAGGCCCCTCGGGCTTGGTATACGGCGCTCAGCAATTTTCTCCTTGAGTTCGGGTTCACTAAAACTCTCTCTGATTCCTCCATGTTTGTCTATCATCGACATGGTGCTCTTCTCTATTTTTTGGTGTATGTGGATGGTCTACAGCTCACAGGGAACAATGATCAGCTCCTCTCTGAATTTCGGGCGGCTCTATCTCAGCATTTTTCCTTAAAATCGCTTGATGATGTCAGTTAACTTCTAGGCATTGAGGTCCTTCCCACCGAGTCTGGTTATCTGATTTCTCAACATAACTATATGCAAGATGTACTTCAGCGGTTTCATATGCACGACGCTGCGTCGGCTCCCACCCTATGTCTTCCTCTATCTCGCTCTCCCTCTCCGATGGCAGTGCTCCCACTGATGCAACTCGCTATTGGCAAGTCCTTGGAGCCCTTCAATACTTGATGTACACGAGGCCTGATATTGCTTTCTCGGTCAAGAAGTTGTCCCAATTCATGCACTCTCCTACAGGGTACCATTGACAGTGCGTCAAACGGGTACTTAGCTACGTGGCTGGTACACTCCATCATGGTCTCGCCATTCGTCGCGACTCCCAGCCTCTTGCACTCTATGCCTTTGCCGATTCTGACTGGGTTGGCAGCTTAGATGATCGGTCTTCTACATCGGCTTATGTTCTTTATCTCGACTCCACTCTTGTTTCATGTCGGTCTCAGAAGCAACGCACAGTTGCCCGTTCAAGTATCGAAGCCAATTATAGAGCCATTGCCCACACTGTTGCGGAAATTGAATGGCTCCAAAATCTACTTACTGAGTTGCGACACCCACTTTGTGCGCCTCCTACCTTATACTCCGACAACCTTGGCGCTACATATTTTTGTTCCAATCCCATCTTTCATTCCCGCATGAAAACTTTGGCATTGGACTACCATTTCATTTGCCAACTAGTCCAGACCGGGCGTCTCGTTGTTCGCTACATCCCCACCCCTCATCAACTCGCTGATGTGAATTTCCAACAACTCGAGTTATTCGGACCAATTGATTTATAACAGAAGATTGAGTTGGTAGATGATGTGAATTTCTCTCTTTTTTATTTTGATATTGACTACCTATAGGTCCAATAAATATGCGAGACGTGACCTTACCCATCATCAAGTCTAATCAACACCTAATTAACTCACCGTGAACCCCTTAACTGGGGCATTTTCACGTTGCCTAGTAAAGTTAAGCGCCTTTTTTATTCATACAAATTCTCTCAAATACAATCTCGTGGTAATTGTGAAACCATACGCACAAGATGCAAGAAAGTAAACAGTGCCCTAACGCCACGTCCCTCTCTTTACGAGATTCGTAGACAAAATTCCTCTAAAGCCCTTAAATAAACACCAATTCATTGCACCAAATCTTAGTATTACTACCATAAGTCAATCGTATAAGGGTGCGTTTGGATAAGTGTATTTTAAATGTAAGGTATTTGAAATACTAGCATTTGAAATGGAAGTATTTGAAGTATTAACATTTGAAATACATGTAATTCAAATTCATTGTTTGGATACTCATTTGTAATTTGTTTGTATTTTTGTATTTATGATTTCCATTTTCAATTTTTAATTTTCTGGTCACTTACTACAAATTTTGGTAAATTACAGTTTGGTACCCAAAATTATTTTTTCTTACAATTTAGTACCTAAACTTTTAAAATTGTACAAAAAGGTCCTGAAATTTTGATGGTAAAATTACATTTTGGTACCTTTATATGTTTTGCCTCACACTATAGTACCTAAACTTTTCATATTTTACAAATAGGTCCATTCTTTTGTTAGGAGGTATTTCAAATCACTAGTTGTTGAAATGTATTTGAAGTTGACAAAAAATACACTAGACATGTATTTGGAAATCACCCCATGAATTTTACACAAATCCAAATACCAAATGTAATTAATATCCAAACACATGATTTGGTATTTGAAAATCCAAATCACAAATACCAAATTCAAATCCTTGTATCCAAACGCAGCCTAATGCCTTTTTTAATTTCCACCGGCCGGCCGTACTCCTCGAGAATCTTATTATCCTCTTTCCCTTCCATCCAATCCCAACCCAACCCCAAATCAATCCAACTTTTCCCTTCATTGGTTAAGCGTATTAAATACTTTCCCTTTCCCTATATATACCTCCACTTCCCCTACCCATTTCCACACAAACCATTCAGCCCATTTCCAAACCCACTATTACATATACACATACATCCACTGTTCCATTGCCTTCTGTTCATCCTTCTCAGCCCATTACTCACACTTACTCGACAACTCAAATAAACAGAAAAATGGAACGAGTGTTCCAACTGGCGGCGGAGAGGCCGGTGGTGATGTTCGGCAAGAGCACTTGCTGCATGTGCCACACCATCAACACCTTGTTCCGCGACTTCGGGGTCAACCCGACCGTCTACGAGCTCGACCACATCCCCGGCGGCCGCGAGATCGAGCACGCACTGGCTCGGCACGGTGCTGCCGTTGACTTTCCTGTGGTGTTCATCGGCGGGAACCTTGTTGGCGGCGCCAATGAGATCATGACCCTTCATCTCAATGGTTCCCTGTCTGCCATGCTCAAACGAGCTGGTGCGTTGTGGCTCTGATCATCATATATCGACGACGATATTATGCGGGTCAAGTTTTGGCTAACTTTACTATGTATACAATGAGTCTCTTTGCTTTTTCTTCTTCTTCTTGATAAGTCATCGTCATAATGATGATGATAATGATAAAAACCTGCGTTATTTTTGGCTAAGCAGCAGAGGTGTGCGTACTAAAATGTAGACTTTATGTATGAATCGGGATTTCGTGAATTAGGGTTTGCACTACTTTATTATAATGTAATGCCCTAATAACCGGTCTCCCCACTTTTTGTAATGTCTCTTATATACAATCTACGACTAATATACAATAAAGTTTGGTAAAGAGTATTATGTATCTTCTTGTGGGTGTCCATGAAATGAAATGTTTGATGAGTCTGGCTGAGATTCACACTAAGCATTAACTCTGGAATTGGACACTAAACAATAACTAGTTAAGCATCATTCAAGTTGGATCCTAACAAAATGCAGTAAAATTGATTCAAGATCGTATCCGATATAAGAAAGTTAGAATGATTTCATTTAAAAGAGGATAGGAAAGTAAAAAAATTGTATCGAGATCACAAAACTTGAACATGATCACACTACTATATTACGATATTGTTGGATTAGAAGTTTATTAAAATACTACTACCATTGTCCGAATCAAACTCGTCAATAAAAATAAATATCTAACAGTGGTAAAAAAAATCTACTTGACGACCATAATTCAAGGATGATGAATCAAATTTCAAGGAAAACCTGGTGTTTTTTTTTTTTTTTTTCTGTTGCAGTGCAATGCAGGCTTTTACGTTTACAGGCTGAACTGATTTGGGCTTTCTGCTTAATGGCATTAGAACCAGTAGAAAGTCTGCCGAATGGGCCTGATGGAAAGCCCCACAAGCCCAAGACCATACCTTTTTTTTTATACCTCTTTAATTCATATTGAAAAATATGTGGAAGAAGATTGCATTCGTATCTCAAAAGGAGTAAAGATTAGGAAAGTGTGGGGATCGTATAGATTTCCGATCGGTAACACGTGTGCGTGGAAGAGAGAAAGGAATATTTAAAAAAAAAATGGGCAAAAAATCTATGGGCCCAATTACCGAAGCAAAACCCAAAAAAGGTCCCCGCCTGAGCTGATCGACCCGGTCAGCTTTCTGGCCCACTTTCCCTCATAACGCAATCAATGCCCACCTGTCAACCCCAAACAAATGGGCTCCACCACCAAACGCCCATCCCACCCACGGCCACGGCCCGCCCGCTGTAATTTCTTTTCACCACCAAACGCAGATTACTTGACCAGGTGAGATAGTTAGTAAATACTCCGTTTAATACACGTATATGTATCTGTATTGTATGTACTTTATTCATTTAAAACTTCCGTCTCTGTTGTCAAGCCGTTTCATGTTCCCCATTCATTTGATGACTTCAGTATTAAACAAGTATAAAACTCATATAACACGTTTATTATCCGTATTTTACGAATTAAATTATTAACTTTAATATTATTTATTTATTTTTAAAATAATTATTTTATATATTTATGACTATTAACGTACTATTAAACGTAACTTTAACTTAGAGAAAAAGTATAATACGCGTACGTATTTTTTACGTAACTTTCTCGTACGGTATTCTACTAACTATGGGTGTTAGTACAACATCCTAATTCCTATCTTTGTTAAAGAGTATAATAGACACCTTGTTGGTAACAAAGAGAATTATAACACAATCAAAAAATATGGATATATACTTCCAAAACACATTCATTTGGAGAAAACGGTTGATCGCTTCCGTAAAGAAAATTACTATTGATCACTTATTCTACAAGTCGTCCGAATTTCATGAAAAAAGTCATGCCTCAACAGGATCGTTTGGCTTTATGAACATATTGAGGTCCATCGGAGAGCTAAATAGTGGGGGCGTTCCATTGAAGAGGCCAAACTCTTGGTATGCGTGTCGACCGATGTGAAGACGAGGTGCACACAACAACATGATTTTTCTATATCGATCGACCACCTCCTCATGAAAATGATCGCTTTCAAGTGAAGACGCTAACCAACATGTTTGGTGCTTGTTTCGTTCGACCGTCATACTGTGCAGATCAACTAGGTCTGACGAAAATAATGTCCAGCCATTGAAATCTCACAGAGCACAGTTGTACAAAAACAAATAGTATACACTGCTCAGTCCACAACCCCCAAAACACAGTTCACAATAGTCCACAAATAGCTCAAAACCAAAATGATAACAGATACAACTCAATCCACAAAACAAGTAAAATCCATAATGACATACATGGACTCTCTTAATCTCTCTCCTCTCGATCATCTCCTTCTTACATAATGTTGATACTAAAATTCTAATGTTCGAATGTAGTGATATACATATGTCTTCCACTATATGATCCAAATTCATCCTCATTGCATTCACAGACACATGAAGTGTGCTCATATTTTTAGACATCTATATGATAGTCATACAACCCGTGAGATTCCATATATCTTTGAGGATTATTCGTATGCCTTTCAACTCTTTCCAAATTTTATCATTACAACGTTATTGTTTCTTCTCACATGTCACTGTCTAAAAATAAATTCATATTCATTAGAAATATCTCAAACTCACAAGTGGTCTACCACTACAACTCTGTTTTCGCCTTAGTGATGAAAAGGTAAGTGGAAGTCGGTCATAAACAGTGTCCTATAACATTCCAAAAAAAATAAAATTTGGTTGACTGCAGAATGGAGATGTCGATCATTTAGGGTTAAGAATAACTACATTCCTCAAGCAAATGTCATGGAGAGTGCACTAAAGATAATTAACTACGTGATGACACCTGAAAGGTTGATCAGACAACTAGCATAGTCAACATATTAATCAATAGATTTTGCATGAACAACTAACTTTGATGTTCTATCATCTTTTCTTCATCACCAAGCTTTGGAACCTCAATAATTTGTTTGCACGATTTTTAGAACGATAAACTAATAATCTAAATGGTTATATATAGAGATTTATATTGATGCTAACTAGGATTGAATGATAGCAAAGTCCTTGTTTAGTATGCAAAACATTTTTTTTTTGTTGGATCTTGTTTCGGCATTGATAGGTAATCACCAACAATACGACCATTTTGTTGTCCATATCGACTGTTATTTTCCTGTGTAATGGTACAGTTTTGTTGCAATAAGATTTGTGTGTCATTTGATATACCATTTGTCAGAAGGGATAGACAATTTCTCAAAATCACAATAGCAAAATTCTTTAATTGTAAATTAAATAAGTAGTTAATGAAAACTCCACATTCATTTAATTCTCCATTTTTTTATATATATAAACTTCAAGGCGATCTTTGGAAATTTACCTTCGGTTTTTAGGATTTTACTATATAGGTTCGGAAACAAAATCAAACAAAAAGATTGCCACCAGCAAGAAGTTAAAAGAACATACAACATTGCCTGGAACTGAAACCAAAGTAGCAAGTTCACAGCTCCATCTTTCTTCTGCATTTTCCCCCAACGGTCACCTTCACCATTTTCAGCACAGAGATACACATCACAAAGCTCTCAGAGCAAGGAAGCATTAAACAAAAATGCCAGACCAACCAACCATCCATCACATGTTTCCTTCTCAAAACCACACAATATATTATCAAAACACTATTCAATAAAAATAGAAAAGAATAACACTTTCCCCAGCAGCTGCAGTAACTTCCCATTCCAGCTTTTCCATTTTTTTGTTTTTTGTTTGCTTCCCCATAAATCGTTTTTGGGCTTTGGAAGCGAAAAGTCGCCATAGCCAGAATCAGCTCAGAGATCCCAACACAACCCAGAAAGCTGAAACCCCAATGAAGAATCACATTATCACTACCATTTGAGAGCTGTGGACTCCATAACCCAGCTGGCCAGCTTATCATTTTTCCTTCTCTTTTATCACATTTCCCCTGTCTTCGTCGCCATTGGCGGTAGTGAAGTTACTTACTGCGGCGCTTTGCTCGTCCTTTTCCTTCGCCTTTTACTCATTTTCCCAGGAAAAAGGGGTCTAGTCCTTTCTTTTCTTTTCCTCCCTTTGTCCTTGTTCTCTGCTACTGCTATTTTCTCCGCAACCAAACAAGTTGATGAAAATGGGGAGAAGGGTCGGTGTCTGATTTTTGTTTCCGGTCTTCTCTGTCAGTTAAATTTGTGTCCCGTGAAAGCTTCCCATTGCCTCTGTTGAGCTAAAAACCATGGTGGTTTCCTTTACAATGAGCTAGGCTGCTGCATCCATTAGTCCTTTGAGATTTCTCCTTAGGGTTCTGTTCTGTTTTGAGAGATTTGTCTAATCTAGTAGAGTTTTTACCTCTAAGATGTTTGGCTTCTCCAAGAAACGTATGAAGCTTGGCAGGTCAAGTCTTGTCTGTTCAGCTCTTTTACCCTCGTCTGCCCTTTTGCTGCCATTTTAGTTAATAGTTTCTTTCTCACTTCAGTTTTCCTTTTGTTTGCTTTTCAGGGTGAAGAAGGTACAGCTATCTGATTCTATCTCTACGCCAGGAGCTAGAAGCCCCATTAGACCTCCAAAAAGAGCTCCAAACCCTCCTGTTGTAAGTCTCCATTTTCCCCATTTTTTCTCATTGCCTTTTGCTTTTTGGTGGGTTTTTCCTTGTATAATTTCCTGTTTTCTTTTGTTTATAGCATAATGATGGAGGTGGTGCGGCCACAACAAGCCATTGTGATGATCAGCTTGACTGTGAATGCCAAAAGTCAGCTCACCCAGCAGCTGATATTGGCAGCTCAACTTCAGGGAACTCTGAGAATTGGATGGTTCTGTCTATTGCTGGAGACAAACCAGCTCCTAGGTTCAATGTGAGATGATGCTATTTGCCTTTAGTTGTTGTAACTTTCTGGACAAATGTTGAAGAGATATAAAGCTTACCCTTTTGGTTGAATTAGCATGCAGCAACTGTAATTGGCAACAAAATGATAGTGGTTGGTGGTGAATCTGGAAGTGGTTTGTTGGATGATGTCCAGGTAGCTACCTTTTCCTTTTGTCTTGTAAAAAGGGTTTTTATTGGGTTCCTTTTTCCCCCATTTGAGCAGAGAACTGTACTAATCATTCTTTTTGTTCATCTCATTTCTTTTTGGTTATCATCAGGTGCTTAATTTTGACCAGTTTACATGGACCACCGTTACATCCAAGCTTTACCTTTCACCAAGCAGCCTGCCATTGAAGATCCCTGCATGCAAAGGCCACTGTTTGGTACTGTGTGTATGAGAGAGAGAGGGGTTCAACTTTGCTTGTGAAGTGAGTTGCTTGTGGGCTGACAGAGTTGTTTCTGTAGGTTTCTTGGGGTAAAAAGGCACTTCTAATTGGAGGGAAAACTGATTCTCCAAGTGAGAGAATTTCAGGTTGGAATACTCATTGCTTTCTCATTTGGTCTTGTGTTTTTCTTGATCTTCAATCTGTTGGTTGATTCCTTTTGTTTTGGGTTGTTCCAGTGTGGGCATTTGATACAGGAAGTGAATGTTGGTCTCTTATGGAAGCCAAAGGCGACATACCGGTACTTCTTTTCACTTAGATTCTACCTATCATTGATTTGCCTTCGAGTTCTGAGACAAGCAAACATTCCTGTTTCAGATAGCTCGCAGCGGTCACACTGTGGTCAGATCGAGCTCCGTACTAATCCTATTCGGTGGTGAAGATTCCAAGAAGAGAAAACTGAATGATCTACACATGTTTGATCTCAAGTCTCTTACATGGCTTCCCTTGCACTGCACGTAAGTTTTTGTTTCATGTCGGACTTGCTTCTGCCCTATGAATGGTTTTTCAAGTTTTAAAAATTGCTTATAATGCTTTGCTTTGCAGTGGAGCAGGACCTTCCGCTAGATCGAACCATGTAGCTGCTCTTTGTGATGATAAGACCCTTCTCATCTTTGGAGGGGCATCAAAGTCGCGTACCTTGAATGATTTGTATTCTCTCGACTTCGAATCGGTAAGAACCAAATGCATTCATGTTTGCTGATTGGATGCATGGTTTCCTGGCTTCAGAATGTTGGTGAAATTGATATATGATCTTCCCCTTTTCCTGTTTTTGGTGTCAGATGGTATGGTCGAGGATAAAGATTAAGGGTTTCCATCCATCACCTAGAGCTGGTTGCTGTGGAGTTCTTTCTGGAACCAAGTGGTACATAGCTGGTGGAGGAAGCAGAAAAAAAAGTAAGCATTCTAAATCCAGAGCCATTAATTTTGGAGCTACAATCAGCAGCTTCTGGCAATTAAGGAGTCATAATGTAATGTATGTTCTCTGTATCTGCAGGACACTCAGAGACCTTGATTTTTGATGTTCTGAAAGTAGAATGGTCTGTTGCCTTTGCATCACCATCTTCTTCTATCACAACCAATAAGGCAAGTAGTCAAGTTTTCATGAACTTATACCATCTTATAGGCTAATTTGAGCCCCTTGAACTATATTGTGGTAATGTCATTTTACAACCTTGTACCATGCCATAGTGGTCCATTTACTATACTATGCTTTTACAAATTTCCAATTTCACTGCTGGAAGTTTTATCTAAATTTGTTGTTAGTTCGGGATATGGTCAACGCGTCCTTGATGACTCACATTGCATGTAATACTTATGTGGCTCATTCGACTCCCAACATTTTCCTCTCCTCTTTATTCCTAGGGAACATCTGTTAAACTTAGTTAGTCAGATTGAGGGGTGAAAGTGATTTCTCGCATATCATGTGTGTATCAGCAAGAGCGTGTTTATTAATTATTACTCAACTCCACTAGCAGCACATTTCAGACGAAATTTTAACGGAGGGTAGTGAGCAAATAAGTGGGGTATAATATATTACAAATGGTAGGATGCAGGAACGGAAATTATCATTAAGACAATTGTTTTGTGTATGTTAATATGTTTGTGGTCGTTAAACTTCTTCTTTTCTCCCCGACAGGGATTCAGCCTAGTGCTTGTGCAGCATAAAGAGAAAGATTTCCTAGTTGCGTTTGGAGGATCCAGAAAGGAGCCTTCTAATCAGGTTAAGAACTGAACCGACTATTCCCAGTTGTCACTCACTAACAACGCAGTGTTCATCTCGATAGACTATAATAATGATGTCTTTTTGATTAATTGCTCTTTTACAGGTTGAAGTAATGGGTTTGGACAAGCATGAATCATCAATGTCTCGGAGGTCTGGTAAAGGTCCTCTTGGGGACTCTCAGCGTTCAGTTGACTCTGTTGCTAGACAGAACTTGGCTTCTGCAATCGAGCAGCATGGTTCTGGTAGAAAATCTGTGTCGGAGTCCGCAATCATGGATTCAGGTTGTGCCTCTGGAAATGTCTCCCTCAGAAAGCAATTTCACGAGGAAGAACACAAGAGAGTTGTCAAGATGGTTAAGAGCTCAGATGAAGGAAATGTGACGTCTCCGGTAAGTAATATGTTTTGCTACCCGTTTAGTAGCTAAGCTGCTCGGTCAAGTTAACTGGGAAGCCTGTTGAAAGTTTTAACTAGTGATACTTAGACAGAACTGTTAAGTGAAATGGTTAATTTGAAAACCGTAACCTTGTAGCCAACCCCTCAAGCTTACACTAGCACATTATGTCATTGTTTTCATATCACGATTTAGAATGGGGAGAAATGTCGATTTTTCAGGGGAAAGAACAGCAAATGAATCAACCTAACACATCCGTTCAGACTTATAACCAGCTGGGCAAAATCATCAGTGAGGATAAATCTTGTGTCTATGGTAGTTCATCAGACCTTAGAGTTGACACTGAGCGAGTGGCAGTTCCAGAGACTACTGACTTCCCTTCCGGAGGGCCGCACTCGAGTGTCTATCAACTGTATGAATCCAAAATAGCTACTTTAATAAAGAAGAACGGAGTACTAGAAGGACAACTCGCGGCAGCATTGGCAGGTCAAGAGGTGGCTGAGAAGGGTTTCTCTGCGGTCGTGAAGAGCAAGCAAGATGTGGAGAAGAAGTTGGCGGATGCTTTAAGGGAAGTGGAGTTGCTGAAGGAGAAGATGACTAGTTTGGAGATGGCCCATGAAGAGGCCAACAGCATGTCGAATATCGTCCATTCGGACAACGTGAGGCTTGAACACGACGTGGCTTTCCTCAAGGCTGTTTTCGATGATACCCAGAAGGTAAAATGTTCTGCTGCCTGGCCAACTGTGTAATCGATCGATCTTTCATGGCTGAGTTTAAAGAAATAAGTCAACTAACTGTCTTTGGTCTCAGGAGCTGCATTCGACTAGGGGAGTACTAGCTGCAGAAAGGGCAAGAGCGTTTCAGCTTCAGGTGATTTTCTACTCGGCTAATCTTTCATCATTCCTTGTGTGTCAAGATACTCATGAGGCCTTTTGAATGCTCAGGTAGAGGTGTTTCATCTGAAACAAAGGTTGCAGTCTTTGGAGAACCGAGCTCCGACTCCTAGGAAACCGTACCATGTTTAGAAGGCAGAGGAAACAGTAGCTTTTTGTAACTTGATTCTGTATATAGGGGTACTAAAAAAACCCTAATTCACGCTTCTGTTTCTACAGCCAATTGTATTTGAAATTAGGTTAGAATGGCAACCAAGCATGTTACTAATGCAGAAGTGAAGATCTTTCATTTCAGTGCTTAGCTTTATCCAGTTCAAATTGAAGTTAATTAATGTTTTTGACAGTTATGGTGAAGTCCCTTCAGTTGAAGTTCTCTTTCTTGTAGAGTGGAATGTAAAATTAAGTAAAACAAAAGCGCACAACAATGTTAACATGAAACTACCAGGATGAATGATGTTGTTTAGCTACCAGCAATTCCATCATTTGTTTGAGCTGAGTGCAAACTTACAACAAGGTCGAATCATTTCGCTCGAGATCTTTACATGAGAAAAATGGCAAGAGATTGACAAACTATCTAACCTGCAGTCCCTGAGGTAGTTGTGTAGGTTGCTTAGTCATGATGTCAAGGATGGTTTTCTTTACTCGTCTAATAGTTGATCACATTCTCCGGTACAGTTTCAGGCCTCTTAGGTTGATTGCCAAAAATTTAGGAAGGCTGCTAAGCTAACAGTGACGACAATGCCTATGATGTTGAAATTCGGTATCTGCATTTTACTCTCGGAGAAGCTCAATCTCATCTGGTTCTTCATCAGCATCCTCAACCTCATTTTCTTCATCTTCTTCAGGAGCATCTGGATCGACACCCTATGAATATTGTCCGACAATAGCAGTTTGTTTATGCCAGATCCAAAGGCCATGTGCACGTACTTACAAAAAAGTAAACAACCGGATAGGGAAACAAACCTTCATTTGCTTCTCCAACCGTTCTAAGCCTTTCTTTGCTGCTTCATTCTGGGGATTCAACCTACGAGCGGAACCAGTGAAAATCTGAGTTCAAGAGTAGGTTACGAAACAAGGCTCGGAGGTGGTAAAAAAATGGTTCTCACCGTAATGCAGCCTGGTAGTGAGACAAAGCTTCTTGCAGAGCATTTGTGGCGGCATAGACTTGAGCCAGCTTGACATGAAGTGAGTCATCAGCCCAATCCTTAACGTATCGCTCAAGCAGAGAGACAGCATCTCCATTTCGGCCCTCTACGCAATGGAGCTCAGCTAAAGCTAATGCAGCACCAAAGTATCCAGGTTCCAGCCTCAGTGCTGACTCATAAAACTTCTTGGCCTGTAGTTCCCACCATCTGTGTTAGATCGACAATCAATGTAAGACAACTGAATGTATGTTGCATAGGTTTTACCTTCTCCCTGCCGCTAGAGTTGCTAGCATGTACATCCCCGACTAATTTCAGAGCTTTTGCAGATTGAGGCATGGCCTTCATGGCCTCCCTGGCTGCATGCAAAGCTTCTTTGGTCTTGGAGAAAGCCAAATAGGAATGAACGAGGCCTAAAAATTTGGGCACTACATAAGCTAATACTCAAACTTCGACACAACAGAAGGATTGAGTTGTAAATGCAAAACGTTGCACCTTGATATGAACGAAGGTCAGCTCTCAAATCGTGGGCACCTCTGAATGCTATTACGGCTACTTCTGGTCTCTTCAGTGATAAAAGTATATTCCCCTGAAAACACAGAATGCGTTCTCATTTTAGGGAAACAAATTATGGAACTCAAACTTCATAGATCATACAGATCTAACAACCACTGAAACGAATTACAACTTGGAACCAGCACAATCTGTGTTATCGGGCATTAATACCTTCATAATGTAGGCTGGTATGTGTCTCTCATCAATTCGGATGCTCTATAAAAGGGATTGTTGTTAGATTACAGAAAAATTTCACTTTTGGAGATAAAAAAAAGGTGTTGCAAAGAATAAGTTCTACCTTCTCAGCATACGATAGAGCTCCTCTCTCATCTTTCCTTTCCCATAAAACTGACAAAGCCACGAAGACTTCCGGCCTAGTAGGGTCAATACTTAAAAGATCATGAACCAACTTGTTTAGCTTTGTATAATCGGACTTGCCCTTCAGAAGTATTGCATACTCATCCATGTAAGTAATGAGAAACGGATCCAGCGAGCGCACCTGCAATCAAGTGAATAAAGAACTTGAACAATTGTAAATCTATCAGAGAAGTAATGTATTTATCAGACAGAGAAATCAGCTAGTACCTTTTCAAAGTTCACTATAGCCTCATCGCTCTTTCCAATAACTGCTTCTACCTGACCATATTACACACCAAATCAGTGAAGCATATCATTTTTTTAGCTTAAACTGATCAGGTTGAGCCATTAGAATGAGAATTCGAACCTTAGCAGTTTCAAGTAATATGTGTATGTTGCTAGGAAAACGTTGCAAAAGTTCCGCAAAGAGCTCTAACCCACCTGCAGACATAACAGCCATATGTATTCATAGTTATGGGTTGCCTTATTTTCAAGATAACACAAAGCGAGATGCCGAAGAACCACCCAAAGAATAAAGGATACAAGATAGAAAGGACAGGCTCACAGAAAAAGGAACTCAATTGGCACAACAATTTACAACCTACAGACAACAGAGTTTAGACTTAATATCGATTACCTTTGTAGTCGTTTGAAGCCACACAACATTGTGCCTCAACATAGCGCTGGAAGAAAATAAATGAACGAACAGATGAGCAGTTTGTGCACAATACGCGAGAAAAACAGTTCAGTCTATGAAAGTTTAACTAATGACAAGAAGTCTCTGCATTCAGTAATGAATTACAAATGTTTCCAAGAGCAATGAGGCCCCAAAATAGGGGTCAGGGGATGGACAACAAAGCAGTACTCAATTGTGATGGTCGAAACGAAAGTTAAAGCTGATTTAAATCTGTACTTACTTGTAACCATCTATTTGAGTCAATATGCTCAAATGGGGTCCTTCCACTTTTGTATGAAGTCTGCAACCAAATGAGAAGAAGACAGTGCAGCAAGGATATCAAACCATGCCTTTGCAAAAATCACGGTCATAAAGCTACAAGCCTACAATAAAGATGGCGGTAGTAGGATATGCTCCAAACTCAAAGAGGTTTTCGGGTGGGTGAGAGGAAAGAGAGATTGTGTGATTCTCAAATGAACGGACCTGTGAGAATAATGAAATGATATCCTTTGCAGCAACTCCCAGTTCAGCTAAGGCTATAATAGCTTCCATTACATAAGGGCAATTCCTGGCAAGTAATATATATAAGGAAAGGATCAAAGGATGCTCACGTCGAGGCAAAACTATTTTTCATTTCTAGAGTGGATAAAACAAAATATGCAAGTTAATCATGCAACATTGATTTCTGAAGCAGAAAGCATGGTAAAGAGAACCAGTGAATGATGAGATGGACATGCATGAGTCGAGGCAATAGTACTGTAAACCCTTTCCATACCTCAAGCACTCTCTGTAACAAGCAATAGCATATCGATTATGTCTGGAATTCCGAAAAAGCTTTGCCATTAACAAACTCATCTGCAAAGTTCTTGCTTTGCTAGGAATTCCTTCCATCTGCGTAAAAAACACCCAACCTCAGATAAGTGGAAGAAAACAGTATAACATATAGCAAGATTATCCAGTCACAAGAGCAGTCCAACAAAAGACATTGCGTGACAAACAACAGAAACAAACCTCGGCCAGAGCCAGTCTGGTTTCATTCAGTGATGAATGACAAGATGCAATCTTGAACTTCACCTGTTACAAAAACTATGTCAAAATGCTAGCTAAAAGCAACCAGTTCCAGCCACAAATCGCCCGGGTTTGGAAGAGGGGGAGAGAGAGGCAATAGCAATTCTACCTCGTTTTCATTAATCACTGAAGCGTTAAAAGAACTCGGCGAAGAAGACCTGCTGGAGAGTGAAGTTCTAGCAGAAGTTGAGTTCTGCTTGGGGATAATCTTACAGTACTGCAATGCTTGTTTGTATGTATGCTGCCATACATTCCCAAATGCAAAAAATTCAACAACAAAAAACCCCACCAAAGTTCCCCCTAAAATTCAGAGAAATTACATATCAAACATAGAGAAACGAGAACCAAAGGAAAGGGGGGAAAATGCACTCACGATTGCTCTTCGATACTCCCTGTCACGAAACAGCGAGTCTCCTAGAAGAATCTGCTCCAACAACAATCCAAACCCAACGAATTAAAACAATTTTCCAATTCGCGGCATCCAAATTCAAAAGGGAAAGAAATCAAGCAACTCCGGACCAGATTTTCGGCCTTCAGTTGAGGGCTTGTTTCAGGATTAGCCGAAGTCGACGATACAAGGAAGCATCCCTGTTTTCTCAAGTTCCCAAAACACAAAGACGAGCGGGAAAAGGTTAAACCGGCGGCAATCGATGGAAATGCTGAAATCAATACCATCAAGACTCAACCAGAGAGAGTGAAAAAGGCTTACGAGCATCTGAGCGGAAGCATGGAGGTCGTGATCGAGGAGAGTCGCGATTTGATCTTTGGAGATGTCCATTTTCCTGTTTTGCTTTGTGAAATTGGGTAGCGAGAGCTGAAAATGGCGACTCGCTGACTGACTGACTGTGAGAGCAAGCAAAGCAGCGTTGAGAAGACTGGTCGCCGTGATGAACGAAATTTTGAATTAGAAGGCCAGCAAGTTGTCAGTTGTTTTTTCAAAGTAGTCCACGGGCCAGGCTTTAAGCCCAACGTGCTCAGTGGCCAGTGGGACGAAAATTATCTGTTTTTTTTTGTTTTTGTTTTTTTTTACGGAAGATTATCTAAAATTAAGGGTTAAATATCTAAGTTTAGTCTCAATTTTACACTAAAAGGTTACCTTGATTTGAATTTTTCGAAATCTCTCAAATGTCCGATATGAAATTTACTCCCCCATTGCCCCAAAAGTCACTTAACTAGCACTTACACTCTTAGTGTGCGCTCGTTCCGAGAAGTGGCAGATCCAGTGTTTGATCTCTACCAATACCTATTATGATGTTTCTGGAGGCATTTAATGGATATCCTCGTGAAGGTCCAAAGAGATGAAGCAGGTTAACTCCCAGATTTGGTCTCGCTCCGCCATTTCAAAAGCGGTGTGTGCGTGAAATGTTTTTGGGTTATAAAAAAACTCTATTATTCAGCTTGATATTTCTCTTGATCGTCAACTTGAACAATCAATTTTTTTTATCATTAAGTCATGATTCTTTTCTTGATGTGGATATCACATTGACGGTCAGGTTATGGTCCTCCACTTCATCTTTTGAGGATGGTTAGGAGCATTTAACTGTATATATTAAGTATCCACTAAATTAACGACTCAAATTAGGTTAGAGAATAGTTAGTGAAAGGTTGAGCTCACAGTCTGAAAAGTAGTTGAAATAATGGGTCCCACGATATGAAAAGTAAGTGAGA